AAGCACACAAAATTATGTTTGTTTGCTGCTAGCAAAATAAGCCTGTTAAAATATTTAATCCTATACAGTCCTTTACTAAGCCCAATGGCAACGAATCTTATACATCTTAAATGCAGTTGTATATATACCGTATAGCTATATAGAGTTCTGCTTGCTAAAATAGTTGTTTCATAACGACATAGACTATGCCGTTAAGTCAAATCATAGAGAAATCTACATACAGAGGGCAACTAACATATAGTGGCCAACAACGTGATCGGTTATTATTTAAACAAAACTCAAGGGTCTCTACAATAAACGATGTTTATCCATTTCGAAATTTTTCTTATTAGTATTTAATGCTTCTTTTTTTGCTTCCGCTTTAATGTTGTCACCGTTTGGTTTACTTTCTGGTTAACTATTACTGTTGATAATGACGTATGTCGTTATAATGATATCTTTTTATAGTGCGTTTCAAGTACTGCGAATGACACGACAAATGAAATTGGTCATAAAGAATTTATCCTAATTATACATAATTAATTTTATTTCGCTTTGTACAGATTACTATTTCACTACTAGTGATAATTCAAAGCAGAGTAGGCCTACAGTTACCGAAGTGCTATTTGTGCACTCTTTTCGTCATCTCTCCAGCGCCAAAAATGTTCTCAATGTGTCCACCGTAGAATCTCTTCTACCTTTCGACTCACCATCGTCTTTTTGCCAATTTACAGTGGAACATATACATAGTCATACACAACACCCAAACATAGGTTAGCAGCAGCAATTAGCAGACGAACGATGTGAAGTTGTAGTTTTTTGCGTTAATATTTAACTCTAATGTAAGACGTGCGACAAGTAGATCGTTCAATTGCTATTCACTGAACTACCGCTACGAGAACGCTTCCATGGTGCTCACAATACATCGGGAGAAGCTCAAACACCACAATTTTCCTTTTCCTTCCGGCTTATATACTTCAGAAGCTTGCCGGGCTACGCACAACAGCTGCATTACTGTACTGCGTACAATATTAAGATATAATATTAATAGCTAATTTACCATAATAAAAAATGAAGAAATTTTTATAATGCACAGTATACGCATGCGTATGTACGATAAATAAAAAAGTGCTTAGTTCGTCGTTTTGTTATTCTCGTTTTTTTTTTTTTTGAATCCGTTTATTTCTATAGATATTGACGTTTTGTTGCCTGATTTTAGTGCTGCAGGCATGTACGGAAGTTACTTGGCTACGAAGCCAGGTCCGCGTATCTTGCGCCTTCCGTAGTAGTGAAGTGCAGGGACACTCCAAAGTCAAAAGTTGTAAAACGCTCTCAAGGTACGATGGGTCGAGCGAGAAAGAAATACTGGAATATTGCTATTCGTAAAAGCGAATGGAGGAGGGAAGATCTAAGCGTGATTTGGGTAGAAACCAACCGACGCCACTACAAATGGGACTGCGTTAGCATTGTTAAAATTAAAGCAGTGATCGAATTAGCAGTCTGAAGAAATACAGTGCGGTCATTATTTTTGAGAAGTAAAAATAAAGTTTTGAATTATTAATCTTGAAGAAATCCTAGTAGTTTTCAAAACTTAATGAATATGACTTTACAGTATTTTTTTTTTGTTGCAGATTAGCATAGATGAGCTTGCAGCACATTGTCAGTTTTTTATTGTCTTTATGACAAACGATCTTTTTTGAGACGTTGCTGTTCGAATCATATAAGGTAAAATTATCATTTTGTCCTATGTATTTAAGTATATTATCCTAAAACGTAAGTCATATTTGTTTATCGTTTTCTCTTTTATCTATATAATAACTATTTACAGAGAGTACGAAGGGCTGTAAAAACGGCTTTTCTCTACAGTGTACACAAGGACGCACCATTTTACAAACGGTTACTTATTGCGACCATTCACGAGGACTTCTCAGACATTCTCAAGGTTTTAGCCCTTTCAGAATGAATTCAAACGCAAATTAGTTAATCGCTTAAATTGTCAATTCCGTTCGAGACCATTTAGAATGGATAATCGTTTTAGTGCCAACCGATCTTGGCCAATTCTGATAGTTTTTCGGAACGATTTTACATATTACGGGTTCTCAATTCAAACAAAGAGTAATATCCAATTTACCATAATAAATAATGAAGAATTTTTTACAATTTACTGCATAATAATTATAATTCTTCTCCGTCTCTCTGAACATCGCAGTATTATAGCACCGCTAGAGATTGACTGTGAATTCATCGAAGTTACAAGAAGTTTTTCTAAGGAATAGCTGCTGATGCTAAGCCAGATCGCGTTGCTACCTCAATCATGGGCGGGTCACTTTGTATCCATTGTATAAGGGTATGCTCCGGCAGCTTCGATGCAAGATAATGATCATTTAGGAGCGAATTCGAGAAGGTTTGATGCGTCGTAACAAATTCCTGCTCTTGATTTGGTTGCCCGATCAGCCGATAAAGATCTTTGAGAAGAGCGGAAGCCCACAACTGCACATGGACATCAGGAATTTTACCAGCCAGTTGCATTGCCGGCGTTACCATGTTCAGAGATTCTTTTGAGTTTCCCATTGAATAGAAAATATGACCGAGTAGAACGAGTGAACACGATGTTAACCTGTTTAGATCTTCGGCGTTGGCCATTTTTAGTGTCTCACGAAGGTGTCGCTTGGCGTCATTATAACGTGCCTGGAAGAACGCATTCAGCCCATGAACGTAATAAGCGGCTGCTCGAAGACTATGTGAATTCGTCTGTATACTTTCAGGATTCAAACGAATCAGCAGATCATTGAGTTCGTGTTCCTTTCTTGATCGGAGATAGACGATGGCTAGATTAAGCGACGCCATGATCCGGAGATCAGATGATGCGGCGTTTTCACGAAGCACGGCTCCGAACTGCGCTTCGGCCGCTTCCATGCAGTTCATCGACATCGCGTACAATCCTAGCAGGCAATGCATCTGCGGCGAATGAGAGACCGCTAGTGAGCGTTCTGTTCGGCAAATCTGGGCAGCTTGGTTAATTTCCTGTATTGCTAACACCTTTTTGCCCATGACTAAACGACACATGGCAATATGTTCTAATAGAAGTATCTGGAACGAGTTTAAAATCGGATTAGCATCGACAACCTTCAACTTATCGATCTGCATTAATGCTTTGTCGGTGTACCGCAACGCCTTATCCATATAGCCGGCCTGCATAGAGTGCAATACGGTGACGAGGTAAACGAGAACGCACATGTGCTCTTTAGGCAGCCATTGGAAGCTCTGGTCGGCCGTCGCCGCTTCTTCGTCCGCCGCACAGATTTGTGTAATGGTGTGAATGCTTTGCTGAAGTTGTTTAAGCAGTGGTTTTACAGATTTCACCTGCCCCGCTGACAGATAATAGCAGACTTGCAGAACAAGAAAAAATATCTTTAGTGCTTCTTTCTGTTGTAACGAGCCCTGCCACGCCTCAATAAGCGGGCCGGCGTTGTTAAGTACCTGGTGAACCTCTTGCAACTTTTTGTCCAGCATGAGAAGCATTGCCTGCGATAGGAGGAACAAGATACGCGTGTGCAGAACGCCTGACTTCTGCGCATAATCAGCGCCCGATGTCAGCAGGGTCACGGCGGTCGTATACTGTTTCTCGATTGTGTATACCTGGACGAGCCGGAAAAGAAAACGACAATGCCAGAAGACATGCCCCCGACTAAATTCTACAGCTTGCTGAAGAATTTGAGTAGCACGGGAGCGCTGCTCCTTGCGTTCGTAAATTGTTGCAAGTTGATTGGTAATATGGAACTTCATATCGCTTTGATCGTCCACCTGCCGTTGGGCAATGATGTAAAATGCTTTTTCTAGATGCTCCTGTGCTTGATCGATATTGCTTCCATTCAGCGAAAACAGAATCGTGCCCAGGTGATAGCGAATCTGCAATTCGACTATGGGTACCGGATTCAACTGGAAGATGGACATGAGACATTTTACACAATTACGCATGTTCGGCGGGTTCATAGTGCGAAATTCTTCAGCTAAACCCATCAGGGCGAGATACGTCCCGTCCTGTAACGACGACATTCTGAAAAGCACAAATCAAAATAATGCCAAAATTTAGGTAAGAAACGGAACGATTTTTTAACTATTTCGGTCCGTTTATAAGTAAAACGACCACAAAAGAACACTGCGTCAAAGTAAAAAGTGGTTCTTCTATCTAGCTTGTAGATTTAACAAGCAAAAAAACCAAATATACTAACCCGTTTAATCTGAGCCATTCATGCTGACAACAAATGCTGAACCGTACATGTAGTTCTATAAAATTGCCGTGCTATCAATGTACATTGCACTAGTTCAAGTGTATTAAATTAAAATATCTATAAAGGGAGTTTACTAAAACACTAAAGTATGCTATCTAATAGGCAGCAGAAATCGACTTGGTGTGCCGTACACAGGAGTCCGTCATTCGTGGGCAGATGCGAAAAGATACTGATCAATGTTTAACCTACATTAAATTACTAACTATAGGCATGCAGGATAGATCGTAACCCATTAACATACGACTACTAATATGCTGATATGCGTGTATCTATCTCTTACACGAGAACGTATTGCGATTGTATATAGTACTTAGTGAAGGCTGACAGCACACCTGTACAGAGTTATCAAAAGGAATGGGGTCCAGAATTAATCATGGCAGAATATGAGTTTCTACATGGTTTCGTTGCACTTTCGTTTTAATTAACGTCATTACATGATATAACGCGTTTTCAAAATGATTGAGTAACTATTTGCTATAACAAAATACACGAATTACTTTAGACCAGAATACGCTGTTTTATCCATTAGACTATTCGGACTGTAAGGCAATGATGACAAAGGTAAGGTCAACTTTTGAAACACTTTCAATTAGCATAGCTCATAGCATACCTATAAGGTGCCCATAAAGAATTAGATTCAAACAACGTTACGTAGGGCATTTCAGGAGAACAAGCCAACTGACAGACATGCAGATGGACACAAACTTTTAGCTATCAATAGATGGAATATCAAAGTCCGCTATGAAATATCATCGATTTTAAACGTTTATATTATGATGTTTAAAATAGACCTTACATATATATATATATATATAATCGCAAAAAGTAGTGGGCATTTTCTGATACATTACAAAGCAGAACAAACATTCATACGGCCCGAGTTTTTAACGATTTTGCAAAACTTATATCAAGTGCGACAAATCGACAAGAGACACTCCTGTTTAGTGCGATTAATGTAATCCCAATGTAAATCCCAATAATGTAAATCCAATATAAATCAGTTAGTTTTTTAAGGCAAACTGGCTCTGTAGAAGATTTACGCATATTTGCATTCAGAAAAAAAATCAGAAATATGCCACTAACCAAAATTCAGGGTATCGTTATAATTTTGTCGAAAAACGCACGTAGGAAACATTTGTTAATGCTTTATTGTTTTTTTTATTCGCATTTCATTTAGCAACGAAAATCGGCAAGCTGTCGTCACTTGTCGTAAATAGGATAATAGTGACGATCTGTTCTTGTAGATATCATTACAGTGGTGATTGGTGAGCGTGCTTAAAGTCGAAAAATCGAATTCTTCTATCGTCCACTGATCGTTACAGAATGTTGTCAATTTACAGTAAACACTCACATTACCCCTCATGTCTCCAATACAGGAGCAAATAAAATTCAACATAAGCAAAACTCTCAGCTTCGGTCAGTGATAATTTACCTCTTGAGAACGAAATCGGTAACACTAAAATGTCACAGTAACAGCAGGCCCCTTTTTCCTTTGCTTTGTCGTCACTAGTTCAAGTTTTAGTTTGCTTCAGAAACAGATACACAATCCGCTCCACGTATATAAATTAATAGAGGATCTGGCTAAGGAACTAAAATAGAGAATAGACTTGCACTGCCGTACTTCCCATCGTCGTTCAAATTCATGACAATAGTAAACAACAGCAAGAATAATAACACAGTGGAGTCACTGCGCCAATGGCTGCGCTGGGTCGTGGATGACACTCGCTTCTTCATCGTCTGCAGACACTCGGGAGAGGCCGAGTCAGGCTTCAGGCAATTTCAACGCGTCAGCGATATAGTGCCCGCATCTCATAATATTGGCGGGAAAATTCAAATGTGATCAACTGCAGTAAGTCGGCACTTTGAACGATTTGCATATGTCTCTAGAGTTCTGAGGTGATCTGGATTTGAATTTGGGTGTAGACACACAGTTCGCTTCGTGCTTGTAACCAGCCGAGTAAAGCAATGCTTAACGGCAGTACCGGACGTAAATTTTTACATTTAGTAGGCACTAACCATTTATTAACGATGAAAACTTACCGAAAGCTACCAATAATAATGACTTTCTAGATATGTGTGACTGGAATTGCTATATATGCTTCAAAAAGATGCCAGACTTTTGCGCCAAAGTGTTGTCATGCCGAATGAGATTCTTTCCCTAGGTTCTTAGCTTTACCTTTGGTGTCACTGCCCCTAAGGTTAGCAGATAAAAAGACCGAATGAGATTTTACTGAAAGGCGCCTATTGCTGGCTAAGATCTTCAATTTCACTAGTGGAGACGTACACTAAATATAAGTAAACAGCTCGCAATCGATCTAGGCTACAACGCCAAGTCCTGAGAGAACAGAATAATACTTTAAGATTTAGAAAAAAAAAAGAGTTTTTAATGGGTGCTATAGTTGATTGCTTTAGATCGAACTCTGAAAAAACATAGCAATGTTCCTAATCAGCTCTGAGTAGAAGGCCCGGTTTCGTTAAAAACGAGTGGAAGTTTATAAAAATTGGTATAATTATAGGGGAGCACGCTACCTTTCAATACTTGTAAACAGCAAATCAGTTCACAATTCACATATTCTATTTAATATCACACATTTGATCCCGATGAGCCCTTAGAAACTGCAAAGACTCTGAAAGTCGCTCGTATTTCCTATAAGAAGTTTACCAACTGGTAATTAAACCTGCAAAATTTTCCAAGAAAAATTATTAAAACAGCTTGAACTGCTTTCAGAAAAGGTACCTTCGTATGATCTTTCGTGTAATACAGCCAATCATGCTGTTCCATATTCTCTATGTGACACATAATATACACAGTCTTTGTTTTGCTCAGTAGTTTTACTAAATCGCACAAATTTATAACGCTGCAATGATTCGTCAAGCATATTTGGCCGCGTCATATTCTGCGTTTATTTAATAAATAAATACATTATGCTTTAAAGCTGTGCAAATTGCCATTTGCGTTTCTACCTAGAAGTGTGAAACCGCCCACGGTGCTGAAACCACTCTAATGACTTAGAACCCCTTAATGACATCTTCTATCCAATTGGTGGATACTTTCTTTGGGTTACGCTTTTTGGCAACGGTGTCCTCCTTAGAATGTCTGACTTCGCTTATGTGCTCGTCTTCATTATCGTTCTTCGTGGCGTCACTTGAATAAACGACAAAATCGGCCTTAGATGGCGTTTTGACCAAAATTCCTCGATAAGCCAGGATGCGTAGATGCCACATGTAGTCCACGTCGTCTTCAATAAAGAATGTTTGGCCCGCAAATCCGAGGCCTCTCTCCTCCAACAAGTACTTGCGCATCTTCAATAACTGCTGGGCTAATCCACCGTATTCGTATGCCTCTATCATCGTTAACTCAGCGATCCGCATGTCGTCCATGATATTTCTAAGCATTCCCTCGGTAACATCCTAAAAGTTGGTGTAAGCAGAAGCTAGCTGAATAAAACATAAAAAACAAATATCAGCTAGGTATAGTACAATGGAATCCTCAAAATGCGTTCTTAATATGTTGACTCGAGATTCATACCTCGCTATAAGAGTCCCCATATCGATCATAAAGGTCCCGAGTCCTTTCCTCGGTTTCAGGGGTCATTCCTAGCAAATCGGCTGGGCCAGGTTGTCTCAGTTGTCTCCTGTCAATACATTCGGCCAGCCAGGACCATTTGGCCACGTCCTGCTTCTTTAGCACGTCACGCACGCGCAACGAAAATTTGTCCGCTACGACCTGATTTGTAAAACAAAAAAAGGCTTTTTGTAAAGAAAACCCGAAAATTCCTTATTCCTGTTGTAAATAACCACGTGTTATTCATTTTCAATAAGCAGGAAAAGATTACCACAAAAAGACAATCCGATAACGCCTCCAGTAAGGAGCTTGAATAGGTTATTCAAATGGAAACGTACCATATAGGTAGAGCCGAATATAGGAGTGAGTACGCAGCGGCCTCCATTCTGTTTGATTGCTTTTTCCAGCATTTCGCGAGATTCCCGGTCCACCAGCACGCAGAATTCTTTACCGGCTAAACAGTCACTCTTGACCTTCTTCACTTGCACAGCCTAAAGTGTAGAAATGAGATAACAACAAACATCTTGATCGAATGGTATTAACAATATCAGAAATCTGGAAACTATAAGTGCCAAAAGACCTGGATTGATGCTATATTTCCAATTAAGTACCATAACCTTTGCAAGACGTCAGCTATTTGGGTGACGTTAGGGTTTTAGCGCCTTGTTTCGCATAGCTGACAACAACTACTAAGTAGCCATAGGCATATTAAAAGTTGCGTTTAAACTTACATAATAGGAGAGATTGGTTAGTCATTGTGCATAATAAACATGTCTACCTGTTTCAACTCGTATAATTAATAACGGGAATAATTGCTTGAATGATGAATAACGATACATATATCCACCTAAATATACCAACTGTATGATGTACTGTGAAATTCCCTATCGACGAAAGTTTTATATAGGTAAAACCGCTATAAGCTTTGTTTTTTACCCGGTTTTCTAGCTGAACCTTAATTTTTCTTTGAGGACTTCGTCTGCGCTTTTTGCCTCGAGCCTCATCTCGTTTTTCCTGTAAATCATTGTCCAAGTTCCCCGTCACGAGTTTGTCGCCCGTCTCCCGACGAATCTTTTGCAAGTCTGAATATGTCATGCAATCGTTCCAAAGTTTATCTTTACGTACAGCTGTCACCCGAGCAAAGCGCATAGTACAGCCTGTCATGTATGCGCGATTAGATATGAGTTCAGCCGCCTTCACGGTAACGTTTAATGAGAACTTGGGTTCAATAACAACGTCAGGTGCTATTGTCATCGAGCTCATTTTCAACCACTGGGGCGGCTTGTACTTGTCAAATTTTTTCCAGTGATCCCTAGTAAATGCCATAACTTGCTCCAATACCAATTTTGACAAACCAGAGTGCACTCGGGCAAACGAGTAGAAGTACTTCGGTAGCTGGCCTATTTGCTCTGGATCTTCGGCAACGGCTAAAAGAAGCGCGTCATACTCTTTTCCGGCTTTTCCATCAGCAAAATACGCTCCGACGACGAGAACATCAAAGTCGCACACCACCTCGTTCATGTAGTCTGGCTTGAGTTTCACCCAACCAGCTTCTCGATGGCTCGGCACGTATTTACTGCCAGCCATTTTTACTACAATACCCTCTTCCTTGGCGACAACCGCGTTCTTCATAAACGCTATCACGTCTTCTTTGCAATTGCCGCGCTCCACTTTCGAGATCTGCACCCGTCCTTCGATCGGTTCAAGGATGCTCTCTAGAATTTGACGTCTTTCCGTCAACGGCTCCTCGGTCAAAACGCGTCCATTGTGGTAGAGGCAGTCAAATACCATAAAGCACTGCTGATTGACGACGTCGTCCACGTGCATTTTTTTAACATCAAGATTATACCCTTTAGCTATGAATCTCTTTTGTTGTTTATTGTACGACATCATTTCACCGTCCAAAATGCACGTAACCACGCGCGGATTAATGCTTTGGCCCAAGTAGTCACTTAGGGTGCGTCTATCCATAGACGATGCTCCATAAACATGGCTGAACTCGTTATAGCCGCGTGAAAAGTATGAAAATTCTGTCCCGTTCTTGTGCACCTGCACTCGTTCACCATCGAACTTGGTTTCCATTAGAAACTCCCCATTGGCCATATCGTTTTCAATGGTAGCGAGATTGGTGCGTGCGGAGAGCATGAAGCCAAACGGTTTACCAACGATCACTTGCGGGGTTTTCACTTCAACAGTCGGGTCATATAAAGTCATGCAGATGTCTTCAAGGTTGCGGTTTACTGCAAACATATTATTAGCCATAGGATGAACTGCTCCCAGGACGACAGCTTCATCTTTCCGAATCTTCAACGACGATCTCAGAATAGTCCTAATCAGCCATTTATGTTCGAGGGCGCTGCAGTGGTTGTATAGATACTTGAGCTGAGTTTTAAACTCGTCACGGCTCGTCGTCATTCGGTCGAGAATTTCGTTGATTCTATCAATCATAAGATCATCACCCTTGAAATTAACTCGATTGTTGAGAAGTTCGAAGATCATCGTTTCGAATGGCTTTCTAAAGCGGAAATCCTTCTGAGATGGATCGAGACGTTTATAATTAAGCAAATCCTGTGCTTTCTTTGACTGCTGGTTTAACCCAGTAAGACTGATGTATTCTCTACTGATGAGCGTCTCTTTCATGTTATATGAGCCTCGAATCCTATCCAGTTTCGGCAACAGAAGTCGTATTAACTAAAAAGAAGCCAATACATAGGTACGTGTAAGTACCATACAAGACAAGATGATCGATGTGCAAACAATGTAACAATATATATTGTTGAAAAATCACACTACTGTATATATATATTCTTTACTGCATATATCAGATACCTGAAAAAGATCTTCGCCACGTTCTTCAGGAGATATTCTCCTTTTAAGGGCCCGCTCTAATTTTGGCCACATATCTCGATAGCCTTGGATGTACTTCCTCAATATGTCTTCTTTTGTCATTTTTTGGTTTCTCTGACCTTGTCGTACTTTTTCAACCTGCTCAAGAACCCGGCATAGAGCGCGAAAAGGCGTGTTTCCACTGACCGACGCTGTGTACTTTTGTTGAGACATAACGGAGCTCTTTAACAAGGCTGCAAAAGATCCATATACGAACGTCGGTTATGTAATGCTGTGATGAAGTAGTTCTAATTTACCCTAGGTATTTTCTTTTTTCCAAAAGTCCCCAACTTATCAGCAGATATAAATTTACTCTAAAAAGTGCTTTAGCGCTTATATCGTATCCATAATGTTAGTTATATCAACGTTCTTTGTTGCCTTCATCTCGTCCGCAGTAACGTGCCTTTTTTCCCGTTTAAATCAAAATTTAAAAAAATATATATATATAATAATTAATGTGCTCATGTTATTATCCAACCATTAATGCCAGCATGATGAAATTTTTATCTCTAGCTGTACATAGAGTGCAAATGGAAAAGTCCAGTAGTGTGAATGCATTTGTAACTTCGGACTTCGAAGATAGCTCAGGTCAATAATTGTCTAGCATAGCAGTTGATGGTAATAGGACCTATCCGTCCCGGTCAAAGAGGACCATCAACCGCTCAGAGTACAACAATTATGGAGTTCCAAATAAACACAAACAAACTGACGAGCTAGAGGCGCGAAGCATGCTGTTAGAAATGTTGTCCCACCTTAGTCTAACTTCTTTAATACGGATATGTTTAACATTAATAATTATAATGATAGAAGTACCGCATATAGTAAAAACACACTAGAAAAAGTAAATAACCATCTTTAATTTTTTTGCCAATAACGATTTAGTACGAACGTGCTCACTCTATGGGGCACAACCGTGGACATTGTTATATTGTTGCATTGTTTTAATTAGACAGATTTGTCACGAAAACACTCACAAGTTTCTGTAAAAGCTCACTGCAAATCCAACTGGGAGTACGTTCAAACTGGCTCAGAGTCGGTATTCCATTAAATAGAGCATGGAGTAGCTTAATCAGCGGAACAAGTGTGCTGTTTAAAAGCGAGCTCGAAATCATCAACTTTCGGTCGACCAGCGAAGCTCGTCTGGAAACACTTGCACTGTAAAGTGAAAGAAACATAATTGGTTATTCATATTGGCGAGGTTTATAATTGGCATTTAAGTAATAAACAAGTTTTCAACATGTCGGTGCTCTTTGAGGACATCTTTGACGTCAAAGTAAGCTATGAACGAATGTTTAGTAAGCTAGAAAAATTAGATTCCAGGAGTGACACAGACCTGTTGCTATTTAAGTTTATGGGTTTTTTTTGTTAACATAGTAGTTCTGCCAAATGGAATTGCTTGGAGAAAGCATTTTCTGAAAAAAGTAACTTTGGTTGAGACTTTCTAACCTAGCCTTTAAATTATCCTAAGAGCTGTAAGTAAAGTGCAGCCACACAAACAAATTTAATTCCAGGTAAATTCTTTATACCTCAAATGTATCCATCATATTGAGTATTAACGCATATAATATTTATATTGAACTATTTTATAGTAATAATTTATTACTATTTTATATATGAATAAAATATTATTAAGAAAAAGAGAAATAGTATTAAATTTATTTTCAGTTTTTGATCCTAGTACTTCATTATATTTTAGAATAAATTGACTATCTATAGGATTATTCTATTTATTTACTTTTTCTTGTTTTTGAGAGATGACAAAAGCATTCAAGTTAAAACTAAATTGCGGCTTATTGCTTATTCTTTAATTGTTCTAGATTTGTTAGCTTAGTCCATAGTAGCATATTATGTTTTTTAATTGTCCTTAGTTGTCCTTAGGTCGATAATCATATTTACTTATTAATGAAGAACCTTGCGTTTTGATGCCAATGAACTAACTGATTATTTCGGTAGACATGGCTTGCGTCAACTGATTAGAAAAAAAATAGAAAAGGCAATGTTCAAAAGCCTAAAAAATACAAAAAATTATTGCTGGTTATTTGAGAGGCGTTTATTTGCTTTAATCCTTCGTCTTCAAATATTTTACTTACACCTTAAGTGTGCTACATAAGATTGTGCTTCTGCAAATCGTCTATTTTAAAAGTACGCAACCGAACCGTCGCGTATATATTTTAAACATAACGTAACATTATATTTGGCTAGGTCTTACATACTTGTTGTTTACGATGGTCTATTTTTTGTAGCCAAAGTACCCGCATATTATCTAACGGCTATTATGCGCATTGCGGTTTTTTCAAGGATATCGATCCAGAAGGCAAGAAGTTCGACCGTTGTTCCCGACTTCACTGCGAGTCCGAGTCTTTCAAAATGGATTTGATCCTTGACATTAATAGCCAGGTAAGTCGGCCTAAAGGTGTGGGCATCTGAAATCTGTTGTTTTACTTAAACTTGATGTGTTGCACACGGGTGTTAATCACTCACACGGGAAATATTCAGCTACACTAGCGTGAAGTAGGAGACATACTCATTTACGAGCTGCCAATGACTATCAGCATCAAGAAATGCGGTTGTCAACCAACATCTAGCAGCAAAGCTCGCCTGGATAAAGAGGGTAAAAGATAAAGAAAGTAAATACATTTTCTGTTCTTGCTTTTTTCTTAGGGTCCCTTTACAAATTGATTTTGAAACGATAAGAAGAGTAAAATAAAGTCTCTTCCTTACAAGTGGTATTTGAGTTCCTTCTTCCAAGAAAAATTTTTTTTGGTTGCTATTACGTCACGGGTATCGGCAACACGATGATACTAAGCGCCTTCAACTCTTGATTTTCTGTTATTTAAGCTATTAAATTTTCTTTAACGAATTATATGTCCCCTTTAATAAAAAAAAGTTGAACGCATTTTGTTACTTGTCACGTTTCACAGGTTTATCGAGTAGAATTAGGTGACAAATTTCGTTTAGTCATAGCCACATCTTTACGTGAAGATGGGACTGATCCGGACAACGGCGACTACAATCCGGCTGATGATACTCCAACAAGGTAGTAGGTCTTCCGAACTGACATTTTTAACAATGACAGCACCATTCAGCAAGTCAATAATAAAATAATGTATGTTCAAAAATATGAGTTTGCTAGACCAAAAAACCATCGATTAGTTATAACAGGACTAACGGTCTGTAATTTTCTCTACGTTTCGTAGGGCTGATCAATTTGAATACGTCATGTATGGAAAAATTTATAGGATTGAGGGTGACGACGCCACTACAGGGGAGTGCACTCGGTTAGCAGCCTATGTCTCGTTTGGGGGTCTTCTCATGCGACTACAAGGCGACCCCAACAATTTGCATGGATTCGAGGTCGATAATCATGTTTATTTATTGATGAAGAAGCTTGCATTTTGAATCCATCCCAGGGATTCAAGGGTGCGAAGGTCAATTGATCGACACCAGCTGGCGAAGATCATATTGTGTACTATTTTGTATATTCATTGCATTTCCCTTTATTGAAAAAGTGTCTTTTATGGATGAAATCAAATAAAAGCAAATTTGTACAGTTACAATATATTTTTTTGTCTTCGTCGTATTTTCATGCCAATGAAACGTCGAAAAATAAAATACAGAAATGATTCGGTACCAGAGGTTTATCTACATTCTTTTAGTCATTTTTTAGGTGAAGCATCAAAGCATCTACGTACCGGCTGTGGCCTTGGCTTAGACGGCAAAGTTTCAAGTTAAAAAAAACAGACATCGCTGTTTCAAGGTCTAACGTAACGTAAACGACACGAGTTAATATGGTTATAATATATTTTAAACGCAGTTCCTCATGGCAAACAATAATTATGATATTGTGAAAATATGTTAACTCCTTGGAATTAATTATATTATTTGCTCTTTTTTAGATCTGAAGTAACTTGTTTGGTGAACCTGAAAATAAATAATAGTTATACTAACATGCCCGTCACTAGAAACTATTAGTAGCTGCCAAAAATGTCCTAGAAGATACTTAACATTTGTCAAATATGTATCTTAACTTATGTCAATATTTTTTAATTTTATGTCAATTAATTTGCCATTCGTTATAGAAAAAATACTACATCTTCAAGTTCAACGGAATGTGTTATTTTATTTACTTTTCACCGTTAAACATGTGCTCGGGTTAAACAGGTTAAACGTGCACTCGTGGTCATGTACATCGTCCCTACACCCTTTCTCCAATTTCTTCCCACCTCTCTAATCTTGAGCAAAAGCATAATGTTTTACAGATCTATTCACGGAATACATAAGTAACTACAATTTTTCCGCAATTATAGGTTCACATGCTCGCAGACAACACTCACTATCTGTTATTTGTTGCCTCGTAAATGCTGGCCGTCTGCTTAGTTTGACTAGTGGGGTCCTTATGCTGCGACGGAACAAAGAGCCGTATTTTTTTTAAACCTGAAATCAGAGATTGGCTGTGGCGAACTATCATTTTGCATATATCTCTAAGTCTACACGCACTAATCAATCATCATTGTGAGGCGATAACAACAAGAGTCGGCAGACAAACCGCCTGATCTTGTCAATATGTTGCATAGCTAGCAGAAAACCTCTAAAAATGAAATGTCACCAGATAAATCGCAAAAAGAAATGAATTATTTTCGCAGTTCAGCTCGGGTCTATCTCAGCTGTTATTCTTGACAATTACGAACTACCAAAAATACAAGTCGAGCCAGGTGTAGACTGTTTTGTAACTGCAGGATCATCGTAAAACCGATATCGTACTAGAAATAATATAACAAGAGCTACAATATAGGCGAGGGGGTATGTTCAAAAAAAGGTATCGGTTGAAATTTTCGATCAATAAATTCTGCCACCAAGAACTTCAAGGCGCAGCCTGCCTGGCAATTAGTAGGCACTTCGATATAACCAGTAACACATACCTATAACCTGTTTTCGGTCACATGATATCTATATATAGAATATTGTATATAACATCGAATAGAAAGGTTTGGCGTTCTAATGAACAAAGGGAAAATCATCGTTCTTATTTCCAGTCGTATCATGACAGTACTTTGAACAAAAATATATAAACTTATTTCTATAAACTTTCTATCATCACTGTATAATTTGAATGCTACTTACGCAGCAACGCATTTCTTTTTGCTCATGGATTTCAAATCTTCGATAAAGTGTCGGCCTTAGAAACGACAGGGATCGTAATTATCAGTTACGCTGAAGTATGTATACCACAGCCATCACACTAAAAGATTTACTCGTTACGATAATATATTCATAGCTCCTTAATGCCCTCCCAAAGTTGAATCACGAATTAGGCTTAGGAATAACTTGTAGGGCCCCGAAGTATATTCTACTTGAGTGTATAGTTTTTTAGTTTCGTAAGATGAATGTGAATTTGTATTGAATCAATTTGACATATAGTTTTTTCACTGGCTTCGTTAACATGATAGGAAGAAGGGTTTCATTGTAACCTGTACAGATAAACTTGTTAAATTTGATTAAAACATTACTATAAATGTAAAGTAAGTTGTAACCATACGTGGCAACCACGATAAGAAATTTATGAATTTTTCTGTCGCATCAGGATTGAGCGAATTGACGACAGCTTCTTAGAAGGGACATTGTGCGCTCTCAAGATGATACGCCACTTCTGCAAAGCAACGGAACTAAAATAGTGTATCAATAAAGACAAGTAAGAAGAAACTCGAAGGCATTCATTTCCAAACTCAAATATAATTGAAGTAAAACCCAGTAGCATTTAGTCGTTGACACTTCAAGCGCTTTATACTCTTAGAGATGAACATGATTCATGCAAAAACTAGCTTAACATAGTGGATTGTTAGAAATCTACACCAACAGCATTGAGGTTGGCTAAGGCCGTTGTTGAGATAGAAACCTACGTGATACATTCGAATGATTATACCAGTCTGAAGTGCAAAAAAACACTGTATTGAGAAATTGTCTTTGTAAATTTTATGCTAGACTAACATGTAATTATTTTCAGTAATAATAAAAATGTTATGTCTTCGTTCGGCGAATGAACATGTATGTATATGTCTATGGATTTTAAACGAGCATTGAATTCATTGTTCTACTTAATGAAAAATCCTCAGTGTCTTAGACAGATAGATTTGAGATCTAATGCAAGAATAATTCGAGTAGCTAACTATTCTTTACTGCAATACTATCTTGTTTAATTTACCAGACTAAGAAAAGTCAGAAGAAAACGTAAAGGCGAAATATATTTTGCTAGTAATGACTGAGTTTCTCCTAGGGGTATGAACTGCTATACTCAAAAGTACTATCCTCGTTTCTAGTAAGATGCCGGTTTTTTCCTCAGCCGCGAGTAGCTACGTCCAGGCTATATATCCGAACTCCGCACCAGTCAATCGACAGAGAGATGTTTTGCAAATCGATTCATCTGAATCGGAAAAGTCAACATCGTCATATATATATATATATATATATATATATATATGGTCAAAAATCCTTGAGTTCGTTATTATTTTTTCATCTGAACGAAGGACATGTTTATATAATATATTACAAAGTGCTTATCTGAACTGTAAGCAGAGCGTCGTTCATGTAAACGACCCAACATGCATTAGCGGTTCCGCCAAGGTCATGAGTAAAGGCATACAAAAATTTACTGGTACTCTGCTATACGACACATTGTAAAGTTTATTAGTTATGCCTCGGACGATTTTTGGTTATAATTCCCTCTAAAGTAAAGACGACATACGAGTTTCGCGACTTTTTATTGTGAATTTTCCAATGAATTCGGTGAAGTGGCGTATCTTAGAAAGTTAACCAAAATATCTGCTTGTTTGTGGTTTGTCCCTATTTCTGTGTCCTTATAAAAATGATGTTACTTTTTCGAAATTACAATTGGCGCGTGTAACTGTGTATAATCGGAATGTAATATCTGAAGGAGATGTTACATGGTGTTTGTCGATAGTTCTCTAAGGAAGAAAAATTTTATAGTCAAGTAAATCTGCGTATTCTGTGCTCATCACTCCGCAATGATCGCGGCTATGTTAAGATAGACGATTTGCGTATTGTGAGGTAGATATGTAGTTGTTACGAATTACCGATGTAGAAATCTTATACTGAAAATCCGGTTCTTGAAAAGTCTTCCATACAACGCACATTGCGCTTTTTATGATGCCAAACAAGAAATAATGACTAACATAGTTCCAAACGGTTAATGGCAGAATGTTAATTATTATTCTCACTACTGAATATTTCAAATATTTAAAATTCCATATACATCTAAAAATTTTTGGATTACTGTTCTTACCAGCTTCGTACTATGTGTTACACAATGCAGAGCTCTACATCTGAAATACTAATGCTTGAATATTTCCACTCCAACGATGCTAATGGTGCTAGGTGACTGTCGAGGGTTGTATATCAAAAATCAGATCTTCGCCATAATTGCACAACACCGAATACCACATGCCAACTCAAATTTCTCAGACCCAACAAAAAAGTTTTGGATACTAAAAGCGTGTCGCATATAAGAGAAAAGTGGACGAATTATTTCGTTTCTCTGAAATTGATGCCTATTGCTTAGTCAACAAATGATAGTAATAAAGCTCAATATTTGTTACAGACTTTGCTTAAAACATGCAACCGCGAATTATTGGGCAAAAACTGAATCCCGTTTCGACAAGCTATTCGGAAATCAGGTACGACATATTTCAGGTGAAAAGCATACTTGTTTTTGTCCTCCTGTCAAAACAAAGATTAACTTAAATTACCTTCAAATTACTGTTACAGGATGTTATGGTGATGACTTAATGAGTAGAGACATGGAGAATAAACCCAGACAATTATGTTTATGGGCTTCTATCTTGAAGTATTGCATCTCCGTCTCCAATATTTCTCTGGTGCTATATGTCTGTAATTCTTGCAGATTCTTTGTCTAATGACTTCCACCCTGATGTTACGCTTCTCAATTACATTTTACTGAATTCCACTGAGCTTCATGAGATCATTTTACTGAGCTTCCTTCATCGCTGCTATGAGTATCATTGTGATTCAACTCAATACAAAAGTCCCATACCATTTTGCCTGGTCATCAACCTACTGTTGATATTTGTATATGATCAGTAAAGGGGCCACACATTCAGGGCTAATAAATGATGAGAATTTCCTACTCTCTAGCACATCTAGCATAACACCCGTTCTCGCATCATCCGTGTTTTCATCTTGTTGGAGCACCCCGCTTTTCACTCAAACGGTGTTCGAGCCCGAACATTGTCCTTTCTTCGACTTGCCCCTCGCCCTTTCTCTTCTCGTAAAGAAATGGTTTTCTCTTCACGTCAACTGGGCGATATTTCTGTCGTCCTCTCCGCAGAAAACAACCTCCCACGCACCCCGCGACTCGTTGTGCTATCAAACGATCGAAGTCTTCTTGAACAGAGAAGATGGGCAAACAGACGCCAGAACGCCAGTAACTAGGCAACAGATCGGCGCAATCTGAAGTGCGCAAGAAAACGATCGCCGTATCCCAGCATTCAGCATGCCATCAGGCCGGCTTCAACCCAATAAAGGCCTGATACAACCTCGGATACTGGTACCTTTTCTATACATTTGTGTTTGTGCGCTCTTACTACTGCCAAGTAAGTAGACATTTTTTTTGCCGCTGATTGGCTCGAAATTTCATGTGATCTGATTTAAAGTAACTCATATAGAGCGAGCAAAATATTTAGAAGGGCAAAGCAGAAAACCATTGAAAAGTACAGATATACTTCTTTGTTAGAAAAGTACTTTTCCGCCTATGGGTTGTGAAAATGCTTTCGTTTCGTTCAAGTTAAGCAAGCCTCAGATGAACTCATTTCAAGGTCTATTTGCATCACATGTGAATTGTGTTAAGTTCCCCACGTGACCCTTGATTAGTCGCATCAGAAAGAATAGTTCGTCAGCAACACTTCGTGCGCCTCCACGTCGGTACTAAATAAGTTTGTCCTTCGGAAGGGTGAACATGTGGCTATAAACTTCTTATCGAATGATTAAAATCGCACTTCGGATGAATCCACTTCTTAGTGATTCGCATATTTTACGCTTGATTTGTCTTGTAATTATTTAAGTGCATTGGCTACGATCATCGTCGTCTCAATAATTTCTGAGTGATTAAAAATCTCATTATGTCTGGAACGATAAACTAAGGTAGATCCTAACCAAGTTAAATTTTCCTAAATCCTACATTTACCAATATGCAATTCATTAAAGTTTTGCCGCTGTTTTGACACAAAGAGGCTTTTTATGATTCTAGTAGACTTCTAAATATAACTGAATATAAAAAAATATGACCGTTTAACTTCAATAATTTTTGGCGTACCAACGACCGTACGTCGTTTCATTCGAAACTAATTGCGAACTATTCTAATCAGTTTAAAATGACTACAAAAGAGACAAATTCGGTTCCATTGTCTTCTTACCATGTCCATTTGCTTAGCTAGTGCTGATCTATAGTCGATTTCATAGAGAGTTCCTGAGTTAGTGTAGGGTCGAGCTTCGATCGCTATTTTACAGTTGCGCGAATCTGATTTGACGAGGCGCCCGCCCGATGCGATAAAAGGCGTGGGTAGACAGGCAATGACGGCCTTCCATATATGGCCGATTCTGTACTGTAGAAGTGAAGATAGTCTTCGCTACGACAGAGCAGATAAATGGAGGGGTAACGAACGGTGGTTCTGTAGCTTACAGCTCACGGTGACTTCACTGATCGTTCTACGTTTCGGCTTCTGATGCATGCATGTGTTATACCATTGTCTCTGTTTGGTTCAGCGTACAAAAACATAACCCTCTAACTAAACGATGCAGTGCTCCTTATTTAGATTACTGTGTGTCAGGTTAGTGGAAGTAAGTGAAATTGGATATGGTATGTGAAAATAGCTAATTGAGATTTCTTAGACAGTCATAATAAAATTTATGTTGATTCAAAGTATATCATGCAAATAGATCATATAATGTTTCCGGGTGTACAAGACAACGTTCAAGTCGTCGTTGGCGAAAGTATAACCACCATGACCCATTGGTGCATATAGAATATGCTATAATTAATCAATATGCCTAGGCCAGCTAGGCGAAATAAAAATAAAAAGGTTAAAATGCTCATATAGGCATGGCGACATTCCAGTAGAAAAATTGCAAAAAACCACGGGCATTCAGTATGGAAAATCTTCGCCTTCGCTCCTTTTCTTCCTCTCTGCGTTTTTAAGACAGGTTTATATTTAAACTTGAAAGCTCTTTCAGGTCTACAGGTTGCCTCGACAGCATAACGGCAAACCCTTCGCAAGTTTTCGATAGTTGGGAGACGGTAATGCTGTAGATGATTACAAGCGCAAGTAGATGATGCGCAATCGATATAGAAATCATATCCTTTTCCTAAAGAAAATTTTGATTTTGAACTCTAAGTTCGGGATATTTCGTTTTTTTCAGTGTTTCGTAGTTTTGTTGATTTCTAAGTTGCTAGAATATAGTTAAAGCGGTTGTGTAGGTAACGTGTTGCCTACACAACTGCTTTAACATCTGGATGATTTTTAACGTACTTTTACCTACGATTTTTAACGACCTTCTACCTACTTTTTAGCCACCTTTCGGGGCTCTTTATGCACGTGGAAAATTTTTCGTATTCAGGCGCGCATGTAAAAAAACAGAATCGACGTGATATATGCCTGCGTTGCTCTTTGTCGTCTGAGGACAACAAGTTCCCGGAGGCGATTGTAAATATTGTGCTATACAACTACAGAGACGTCCTATAATGCTAGAAGATGTTTGAAGGAAAACAGGCCATTTATCTATAGTCATTTAAAGGTGGTCCCTACCACTTGTACGGCAGGACCTATTATTAAGCGTATCAGTAAGATTCTCGAAAAGGTTTCAGAAATGCTCTATATAAAGCAGAAGTCACGGTAGATGAAGGATGACAAGCATATATACTAAAAACCATTTCGGTACTAGAAGTAACTGTGGCACAGATTTTAGGCAAACACTAGATAGCATAACGTTCCGACGAAACTTCGATAGCATTAGGGCAAGTGCGTTGCTTAAATAACTTGTACCTATGAAATTTTTGGGGACTCCGTATTGCGTCCGATGTCCTTGGGTCTTAATTACTGACGTATGTCAACATACGTAGAAATCACTTGAGTTCTACTTTAACTGTTAGTGTATGCGCACCGCACTAATACAGTATTATTATATTGATTTTTTGCGCTCGTATGTTTACGTTATAAATAACACTGGAGGAATCAGCTTGAGTCAAGATTGGTGTACATGTAAATATGCGGACGATCCTCTTATTTTGAGTTATAGAGAGCTTGCAGATTGCCTCAGAAGCACTCAAAAGAATTAGATTAAAATTAATGCTGAAAAAACCCAAGGGACTCTCTAGGTTGATCCAACTAAACCCTTAGTAACTTCGTTGCGGTTTGGAAGGAATATCGTCAAATGGCCAGTGAAAATAAAACTTTCATGTGTAATCTTTAAAGATGAATTGGCCATCTGGTTGAAATGAGAAACAGTCTGTGTACTACCTTAAAAGTCTTCCTGAAATTAAGTTGTACCCCTGCATACTCCGCAAGCATGTTTTCTTCCGCTTTTTTTGTATGGAGCTTGTATATCCGTGCATGCTCCCGTAAAAATGAATTGAATGCCTCGGCATTTTTCAGGGGCCATTTCTGAAATTATGTTAGGACTCTGTTTTCCGTGAATATGAAAATATTCCACAAAGCATCATACCGGAACGCCCTAGTCTTCCACACACTCTTCTAAAAAATGTATAATTTACGGCCTCTAAAATTATTTTGAGAACATTTTCGTTACCATCGGAGCAATAAGTTCGCGGCAGCACCTGAAAATTTTCGGATGAAAAAGATCTGAAAATTTGCTGGAAGCTTTTCAGCAAAAACTAAGGCGCTATTTGATAGAAGATATATACTTAGTATAATAAAACTAGAATCAATGAGCATCGAAGAAATCACTAAAAGCTGACTTGTGATATAGTTTGCAAGATGTTTTCACAACACCGTTCCATCCGTCCGCCTTTTACAAAATTACCTGCTACATGCACCTTTAATAGATACAAATAAAAAAGTAGAATTCTGTATTGCTATTACTCGTGTCTATTGAGCGACGTTAATCAGACCCACTGTATCATTTGTCGAACGTGTCGTGGCTCTGGATTGGTCAAACAATGCATGTGAATTACACGGCTGGTTACAATGATTTATTTCGCAATCCATTGTATCTCTGGCTACTTCAGGTTCAGCTAAAGGATTTCAAGAGCTGTTTCCTGAAGTTCAGGAACTTCATCTTCGAGCCACTGCGAAAGCGAACGCAACATGCGGTAAGTAAACTTGAATATATTAATTTTGTAGACCGTTTAAATTAGGAAAGATTGCGTGTGGTGAACGATTAGCTTTCATTTTCGGATATCCTTTACGAATAGTTAACCTTGACTGATGCTGGAGAAGGCATTTTATATAGTTATCATTATCGGCTTTGTGATAATGCTAAGGAAGGTGTCCTTTTTGCCTAAAAAGTTGACTATTGATCGTTCCATCCGTGTGATTGATTGCTTACGAAACTGACCAAATATTTCAAATTTTACATCCGGTATTGTTGTTAAGCATTGCTTCATATGGCTGGCCCCCAATACGAAACGAAATCTGTCTATGGCTATTCGAACCTAGGCCTACTCACGTGTCCTTAAGTTTAGTAGATGTTATGACTGCAGGAACACATTTCGGTTATCTCAAAATCAAATACATACTACTCTTCATGGAGTACACCCATAGACTTGTCGCTGCTAATTCTCTAGCATTTTCTCGTGAGTTCCGCTTCTTGAAACCAGTAGCAAACGCCCACTACGAGAATGTAGAAAGTATTAACGTGAACCATATTTTCACTCAATTCAAATATCTTTTGCTTGATGTGGATTAAAGGTAAATCTGGCCCGAAAACGTTTTGTTATTCGTCTGAGTTTGGTTCCGTGTGCAAAATTTGTGACGAGGGAGATAATCGCCATTCTGTGTCGGATATCCTCGATGGGAGACGAGACACGTGGTGGCAAAGTCCGTCGATGCACGAAGGCGACTACAACTGGGTCACGATAACCATTAATTTAAACGAAGTAAGTCTACCATTGACAGACTGTCAAAATTACTAATGTACCGAATTATAGAGGAACGTCAGCATTTGATCATTGTTATTATATAGTTCACCTTTCGAGGCACTTTTATGATCATTACGGAGATCTTGCCCAGTAGTTGGGTATTCAAGTGGGTTATTTTTGACAGGTACAATACCGAAAGCTCGAAAACATTACAGTATGATTTCTACTGTTCACAGCTTTATGAGGTAACAGAGGTAATTTTGCGTGCTCACAACAACCACCGGCCAGGGAACTGGATTCTTGAAAAGTCTGTCGATGGGGCTACCTTCTATCCGTGGCAATATCATGCTACATCAAACATGGAATGTTGGGAGGCCTACAGGGTCAATCCAACTCCAAGTAAGCAATCATCAATTACCATCATATATTACCAGCAATCGATAAGAACGAAAGGCATTCGTGCGAAGCCCTTTCCCAAGCAATTTGTTTCCTCACTATTCAGTTTGTTAGTTCATTCCTTTGAAATCACGGTAGATGCTGATCCATCCTTTCAGAACCAAGTTACGCGAACTGACCTATTAATGACTAGATATTAGGACTCTGCCTTTTTCCATTTCAGATTTCCCGTCGTATCAGTTCGATGATCAAGTAATATGTACCGAGTATTTTTCCACGCCAGGCAGTAACCAGATGGCCTTCTTTGAGACCAGCAAAGGACGGCCGGGCGAACATGCTAATGCTGAATCTCTTCGACGTTTCATGCAAGCGAAATATATTCGCATCCGAATGCAAAAGCTTCTGGCGCCCATAGCCAGCGGTGACCGCAAAAGGCTCACGCATCCCATAAAGCTTGGACGAGACGGCAAAGAGGTACTTTGAATTTGTTTGTGTTAATGTAATAACGTTCTAAACCAGCAACTGTAGAATCATTTTGCTTATAGCCTTCGAGAGTCAACATTTAATAAACCGAGCGCTTCAATGGGATCGTCAATTAAAAGTTGCTATCTTTTGGGTAGGCAATCAGGTTTTTTGATTCTAAAGGTTCTTCAGAACATGCTAATACTGTTAAGTCGTTAAAGTTATGTACTACCTCAAATGCATACCACAGTTTTTCTACGCGATCAGCGACGTTGAGATTCGCGGCCGCTGTGTGTGCAATGGCCATGCGTCACGATGCATTCCTGACGGGAACTCCGGTCAAATGCGATGCCAATGTGAGCATAACACCTGTGGCAAGCATTGCGATCAGTGCTGTCCTACGTTTGCCGCTAAACCCTGGGCTCGAAATGATACCTGCTCATGTAAGTGTCTGAAGGCGCGCACGAGCGACTCATTCGATTGTGCTGCACCATTGTGGATATCGAAAAAGTACAATCTAGAAATATGAAAAAATCATGATTTGTTTCTCATTCTATGTTTCTTTCTTCTGATAGTGTGTGAGTGTACCGGTCATGCGACGGAGTGCCGTTTTGACGAGAGGGGCCGCTCTGTGTGCATCCGATGCCAGGGTAACACTGAAGGTGAGCACTGTGAACGATGCAAATTTGGTTTCTATCGAAGCGCCGATATGAAACCTGAGGATGACTGTATCCCATGCAGTTGCGGAAAGGAGGGCTCCACTGGGGACTGTGTTCGAGACAGCTTTTATGAAGGCAAGGTAGGTTTTTGTAGGTGGTTTGCGTGTTACTGCTTTAGTATTGTGTGACTGTATAAGATAATGTATATATAAATATATTAATATGGATAAAAATAGTTTTATATTTTTTTTCTTGGCCGACTCTCGATCTAGAGTGCCTGACAGCTTCTGGTTCTGAAGTCTGTTTGAATACTATCGCGAAACCCGCGGGGTGAGCACGTCCTGCCTCCTAGCTACTTGACCCCCACATGTGTTCTCCAAGCTTTGTATCATTCTGTCCTTACCATGGAGGTACTTTATTCCACGAAAAGCCTTCGTGAAGTATTTTATTTTGTAAAGCTTCCAGAGACTCGAGACTTATGCAGACTTGGCTTGTGCCAGCAATGTTACGCTGTCGATGAGCTTCCCAGTCCATGCTTTTACGGTGAAAAAATCAACGGTCTCTCATAATTGCTGCCAGTTTTGCCACATGAACAGTTAATCGCTACTGCCGTTTCTGTTCAATACATTTTAGAAATTTCTTTTGCCTTATCTCTAATCTACGTCTAGATAGCGGGAGACTGCATTTGCGCAGCAGGTTACACGGGTCAAGACTGCTCACAGTGCGAAATCGGCTATCGTCGAAGTGGGTCTCAATGTGAAGAATGCAGCTGCGATCCGCGCGGAGCTGTTATTAACGATTGCGAAAGCGATAACTGCTGGTGCAAGGTACAAATGCTTTCTGTATTGAATACTTTTTATAATGCATACAGACTTGGACAAGGGAAGGGACAATACATGTTATTTTTTTCTCAAATTGGCCAGAGATTTTTGTTTCACTCTGCTGCCTTTTGTGTCTTCTTTTACTCCTACTATATTGAAATTGTTTTCAAGCTATCTTATACATTTGCCGTGGGGCACAACGTGGTTATCTATGGCCAGATTCGGTCATTTTATCGCTATACAACAAACAATTTTCTGCGATTATCGCTTCTACTGCTATCACTAATAATTAATGTAGCGTATTTGGTACACCGATTAATTTCTATCGTCAAATGAACAGTTACATGTGAAAGATCTGCGGTGCAATGTATGCAAGCCGGGCTTTTACGACCTGAACTTCAACAATCCGAATGGCTGTGCCGAATGTTATTGCTTTGGTATAACAAATCGTTGTGAAGAAAGCAGCCTACCGGTCCGAGTGATTCAGCACGAACCGGCCCACTGGAAGGTGACGGATCTGAAGAACGCGCAAAGCGTGCCCACCCATGCCAGTGAGGACTTTCCTGGGTCAACTCGTGAGGCGCTTATGGACTTAATCAGCTTTGAACCAAGCGACAAGGTGTTTTACTGGAAAGCGCCAGATGAATACACCGGGGCGAAGGTAAATGAAATTAGCCTCTAATTTACAGATGTGCTTGAGGACAAGTGTAAAGTCCTTTTTTATTTCTATCATTATCACCTAATTTATTACTCCATAACGCAGAGAGTCGGAATTACGTTCTGGAGTCCTCAGAATGCATGTATTTATGCACTATAATATCACGCATTAACTTATAACTTGGCTAAACTAGCGCCCATTTCATGATGATTACTTCAGCTCTCTAAACATGCGATATTATTTTGCCAAAAACGTGTAGTTAAATTCGTACGGGGCTGCTCTGGACGTAAAGGTCTCATTCGAACCTTCTCGAGGAGACGTCTCGGAGGGAGGCTTCTTGGATAAGCGGGCTGACATCGTCCTCCGAGGACAGAACGGGAAACTTATCGGAGCCCAATCTTCGGATGTTAGTCAGTATCGTGTCACCTTAGTTGTACACTGGTAACCGGAAGTGAACAGACTAAAGCGAATTATTATTATATACGCAAAACCGCACGCAGGATTACTGATGTTAGACATCGTCGGTTAATAAGAGTTTCTTAGTTAATGAAAAATATTAATACAAACAATGTATGTCAGCTTCTGAGCCAATTTATACATTTCGCTAAGACACGTTGAATTCGATTAAATGTACATAAGACTATAAGTTATCGATGTAGGACGCGAAGAAATACTTCTTTTTCTGTCATTTATTATAGAACCGAAGGATGAACTAGGTCAGTACCACATTCAGACTCCTCTCCGCGAGCATGGCTTCTTTTATATCTCTGATCCGGAGCGTGGTACTCTGGACGATGAACCAGTTTCGCGACAGGATTTCACTGCTGTCCTCTACGATCTGAAGGATTTCTATATCCGCGCAAGATACCACAAGGGACAATACGCAGGATGGTAAGCACCCTCAGTAGATTGCAGGCAGATTTCCAAAGTTTTGATTGTTTTAACCTCGCGTCTAAATGCGCAAGGCCTAGTTCAGCCTTTCGTTAGGCTGAGGATGCAAAAAGCAGTTTGAGATACCTTTTGCTGTTGGTTTACTGAGCTCGCGACTTGTTTGATTTCCATTTTTTTAGGCTGCATAATGCTTCAATGCCGGTAGCAAGCACAGAAGTGAAGAGCGTGGAACGGGCAACGTTTCTCGAACACTGTTTGTGCCCTGAGGGCTACGAGGGATATTCGTGCGAGCGTTGTGCTAAAGGCTATCGCCGAGTGAACAACACACTTGCTAATGGAGTCTGCGAAAGGTGCCCGTGTCATAACCATGTCGACAGCTGTGATGCTTTTACCGCCAAATGTGGTCCGTGTCTTCATAATACAATCGGACTTCACTGTGAGCGGTGTGAGCCGGGTTATTACGGTGACGCTACGATCGGCAAAGAAGATGATTGTAAACCGTGTGCCTGTCCTCTCTCAATCTCCAGCAACAACTTTGCCGATGGCTGCAAATCAATCTCGCAAACCGGTAAATACTGACTTGCGTGTAATCGATAATGGCTATCCGATAATATTACGTTACGCTGCAATCGTTTTTTGAAATACTAAGCATACATGGTGAAAAAACTTTTTGTGATGTAAACATTTGCCTTATTTCAGAGTATGAGTGCATAAACTGCGTTGTGGGCTACACCGGTCGGCATTGTGAGCGCTGCGCAGAAGGATATTTTGGTAACCCTACCATTATAGGCGGTAAATGTCAACCGTGTCAGTGCGGACAAAACGTTGATAAAAGTCGTCCAGGCTGGTGTGACCATCGTACCGGCTTCTGCAACTATTGTCTCGGCAACACGGAAGGCTGGAACTGCTCTCGTTGCAAGAAACTTTTTTACGGAAACCCAAAGCTGCCTGATTGCAAAGGTGAGTGTAGAGTAGTATTTGATGCTAGAAATTTTAGTTGAAAGCACGAGGTCACCATTGATTTGATTGGCAAATTAAGCAGCACCGTGGAGATCGTGTTCCGGATGTGACTTAGTCATAAACTAGTATATTTCCGTGATGATCAATTTTCAGCTTGCGAATGCGACCCTGTCGGTTCGCTGGATGCGCAGTGCGATCCAGTGGGCGGCCAATGCCCCTGTAAACCCGGCTTTGGCGGAAGGACGTGCCGTACTTGTGAGTCAGGCTATGGAGATATCGCGCAGGGTTGTGTCGAGTGTAAATGCAACACTATCGGAAGCAATACGATCATATGTGATCCCTATACGGGACATTGCGTGTGCAAAGACGGTGTTTTTGGAAGGTATTGCGATCAGTGTAAAAACCTTCACTACGGATTTTCGATGTCGGGCTGTAAATGTGGGTAGAAAAAATGAACAAATTTCATTGTTAGATAATTGCAGTGAATTTTACTTAGAATTATATTTGTCTTTTACAACAGACGCGTCATATTTATACATATAATATATAATAAGAATAAATTTATATTTACATCATAAAGATATAGTCATCTGCATGATATGCAGCGCTTTGCTAGCAAGCACCCTTAGTAAAAAATAGTTTACTATCAAGGTTCTTTTGGCATGTAGATTACTTCCATTAATGTATATATATATATCATTATCACGGTTTATTAAGAATTATAATCGTCAAATCCTTATTTACCCGCTCTGTTAGTCTGCGACTGTCACCCGCCCGGTTCAAGCGAGCAACAGTGTGATGTGGATACAGGCCAATGCAAATGTTATCCTCACGTAATTGGGCGTCGTTGTGATTGGTGCGAAGATGGCTATTGGAATGTCCAAACTGGTGCTGGATGCGAACCTTGTTTATGCAATTCAATGGGTTCCCTTGGGGTTCGCTGTGACGTACGCACTGGTCAATGCGATTGTAAGCCCGGCGTCGGAGGAAAAAAATGCGACATCTGTCTGCCCAATCACCGGAAATTTGGGCCTCATGGATGTCATCGTAAGTAGCTATTAGGGTTCAACATGAAAAAATGAACATTGACCTTTGAGGGCAAGGCTGCAAACGATCGTTTTCATATGTGAAATAGCGCACATTAGTCGTGCACGATTGTTCCAACATAAGATTTTCGCTATATAAAAAGGTACTATATGATTACAACATTAAAATTTCAAGATTGACAGTTTCTTTGAAATATAAAAGACGCTTTTTTATTTCAGCCTGTGAGCCGTGTGATGCACCGGGTCACGTTTGTGATGAAGAAACGGGTCGCTGTATCTGCCCCAAAAACACTGGGGGACCAGACTGTTCTCGTTGCAAAGAGGCATACTACGGTTATGTGCCGCAAGAGGGCTGCCGTCCTTGCGATTGTAATCCTGTTGGTTCTCTTAGTAAAAACTGCAATTCGCAAGGCCAGTGCCGCTGCAAAGAGGGCTTCGAGGGCCTCAAATGCGACAAATGCACTTTTGGACATTATGGCTTTCCGCATTGCCGCAAGTGTGAATGCAACATTGATGGGACCTTGCCTGATCAATGTCAAGACGGTAGAAACTTCAATAGATATTGATCATATTAGATCATACAGTGATCGAACTCTTAAAAATAGTAGGCTGAAAGAGCTAGCATCTTCCTTCCAAGCTAGTATTTAGTATGTTTAATTTGGCTGGCATCAATTCAAGTTATACCATTGGACTATATACTATATATACATAAACTATAGGACTTTATGACTTTATATAATTTAGTTATATTATTTACCGAGCAAGCCGGTGTACATGAAAATTACGTACATTTATAATGCGAAACGTTGCTATACTGCATCATGTCTTCTTACGAAATAAACCATTGCAGGCGTCTGCGGATGCGACGACGACGGTTACTGTCACTGCAGGGATAACGTAGAAGGAACAAAGTGCGATACCTGTAAGCCGGGCGCTTTTGCCCTGCAGTACGAAAATACAAAGGGCTGCACAGAGTGCTTCGTGTTCGGTAGGATGTATCCGCCGAAATGCACACAATCACCGTACGTGTGGAGTGAGATAGATATGATCATCCCTTATGAGGCCGTTGTGAAACTCGGAGGATCTCCAGACAAGTCGTTACCTTCTCGTGAAGGTTACACCCATATCCCACTGCCGGTTAATCGAACCAATGTCGTTATCGAGGTTCCGTTCATGTTAAGTCAGCCTTTGTACTGGGAACTTCCAAAACAATTTCTTGGAGACAAGGTCCGTGCCTACAATGGTCGGCTTAAATTTAAGAAAACCGCAAGACAAGGCGAATTGTTCCCCGATCGTGTTCTTGAAAACAATGCACTAATTGTGATCTTTGGCAACTACCGCTTGAGGCTTGCCCATCGTCCACCTAAGGGAGATCGACCTTTTACCAGCGGTTATTATAGTGTGAGGCTGCATGAAGACGAATGGATTGATCTAGATAACCCGCGAGTCAATGTAACGCGCGCCATGATGATGGTCGCGTTACAGAAAATCGACCACTGGCTTATCCGAGCTACCGAAGGGGCTGATGTAAGGTCTGCCAGCCTTGAGGACGTTGTTCTAGAGTTCGCCGTGCCAGAGGATCAAGGTAAGTGGACACTGCTACTATGAGGAATTGGATTTGTGGTTCCGAATCCGCTTGAGTCAGAATATAGTAGCAATAAATAAGCTGCGATTAAATTTATGTAGGATAAAACCATCGTCAAGTGGCTCAAGTTTTTTGTATTTATTTTACAGCTCAAGGCGTTCTTCCCAGGCTTGCCCACGGCGTAGAACTGGGGTATTGCCCTAGAGAATACACAGCGTCGTCGTGCCAAGATCCCGCCCCTGGGTATTATCGCAAACGCAAGCCAAATTTCCTTGATAGCAAGGAAATCCTGGACCTCGTCGGATGGGCTGAGCCCTGCGCATGTAACGGAATGGCGGATGAATGCGAGCAGGAAACCGGTATTTGCATTGTAAGTTGGTGTTTGGTTATCCGCCTCATTTCGAAACTGTAACGAGCACATTATTATAATCTCAGTAAGTTATTATCAGCCGAATCTACTTCGTTATCACCTAGTTTATTAGGATGGAAAAAAAGAAATGGCCGCTTCTGCTTGTTATTTCGCTTGCTTTGGCTTTATGTTATATGTCGTTGGAAAACGCTTTCTTGTCAAAAAGTGGCTAACTGAGTTTCAAAACAGACTTTTTTTACCTAAACAACAGATTACAGTAAGTTTTTCAAATTCGACGAAGGCCGCCTTAAGCCTCTTTTGAAGAAGGCTACATGGGACGGATGTACCCATATTTTTTTACTTGACTTGGATTCAAATGGATTAAGTTACTTCGGCAGGATGTTGGCTGTGCCAAACGATCGATATCGCCAATTCGTTTCTTCTCTAGCCAACATAGTCATTTCTAAAGAGCTAACTCAAGTTAAAACTTTGTAACCCAGACAACACCGTGATGACGGTCTTGTTGACCGGAGAGGTTCTTAATACTATGCAACACTTAACCGCCGCTAAACGAAAAATATTAACCAAAAACGAAGAAAAATGAAAAGCGATAGACGAAAAAGGGAACGGCTACAAGAAGTTTCTCTTGAATATTCTAGGATTGTCGAGGAAATACCGTTGGCGACCACTGCGAAAAGTGTGCGCCAGGATTCTACGGTGATCCCGTACGTGGAATTTCTTGCAACCCTTGTGCCTGTCCTAGGCCAGACAATTCGTTCTCCGACACCTGCGAATTCCGAGGTGACGATTACACAAAATACGTGTGTAGTAACTGTCAGAAAGGCTACACCGGAATACGCTGCGAAATGTACGTCCGAGCGCTGCTCTGCATTTTCCCTCCATACTCATGTATGACTATCAGTACGAGCTTCTTGTGGTCAAGCTGTCATTTAAAGTTAACTAAACACATAAATTAAGTCCAAGCGCGGCTGTTCATATTGTTTTATATCACATTGACTTGGTTGCAAAATGTATTTTTGAGTAAAACCTCACTAAAGGACATTTCCAACGACCATGCGAATTTTTCCGTGATAGATGTGCGGACGGTTATTACGGTGATCCGAATATGGTTGACGGGAAATGTGAGCCCTGTAATTGTAATCCGTACGGAACAATTCAAGAAGGCGTCTGCGACAAACGCACTGGTCAATGCCCATGCTTACCAGGAATTTCTGGCAGACAGTGTACTATCTGCCCGCGGAGGCACGTTTTCACAGAATTTGGCTGTCAATGTAAGTACAGTTCTGAACGATAAACTTCTCAAATAAGTGGGTGGATGATAGAACACGGAAATAGCAAAACAAAAATTGCCGAACAATTAGGCAAAATACAAGTAAAAATAAGTAATACGCGATATCGTCCCGTCTTTCAATCGGCAGCGTGCGATGACACATGTAGTGGCGCTCTCCTAGACGAAATCGAGCAAATGTTCGATTGGCTGAATCATATTGACATCAACGAGCTCTTAAAGGCTCCGTGGTACAATTTGTTGCGTCTTAACGATTCGCTACGCCGAACCAAGAACGTTATGGAGGAGTACAAGTACCAGATTTTGGAGGCAGAAGGTATTCTACGTGAGTCGTTGTTTTCCATCAATATGGAGAGCCGCATTTCTGCGATTAGCTTCCAGCTGCACAACAAATTCACCCAGACGATTCCGAAGATTCGCGAACGTCTTGACGACTATCGGGATGACAACAGACGTCAAAGGGTAGACATAGAGGACGAATACAAACGTACTCAAGGTATAGATATATTTACACGATTCATTTATATAAGTCTTCTTCTCATTTGCGAATTCAAATGCATGCCTAGTTTGGTTGTTTGAAAAGTAGCGCAAAAAGTCCACGTGACAACTGTACATAGCACTTAGTGGCGTCAGACTGTATTTTTAAAACGTTTTTTGCTAGACCCAGTTATTATATTAATACTTCTTATAAATATAGAGATTTGCAGGACATTGTATACACATCGTAAGGGGTAATTAACCGATTATTTGTACCGCAGCTTTAATTGAAGCAATGAAAAAGTATGGATTTACCCCGGGAAGTCCAACGTCAGCGATTGAGCGAATGTCTCATGAGGCCGAACAGTGGCTAGCGGAAGTAAATGGGATTCGACGTTTTGTTGAGCCCCTACCTGAAGAGGCAATGAGAGAGCTTCGTCATGCAAAGGCATTGATTGACAGAATAAGAAATGCTGTCTTCGATGAAGATTCGCTTAATGCGTAAGTGTATCAGTTGCTCAGATTAAAACGTGTCTGCGCTAGACGTCTGGTTTTTTTTTTTGGCTAAAGTGCTCAGACAAAAATAGACCCGTCCGATGGGATTACAAAATATCATACGGGTGCATTTGTAAAAGTGCATTCGGTTAAAAATATTGTATGATTGATTAAATTTTGCAGGACGCATTTCGTAAAATAATAATTATGAGTGATATATGTTATTGGCTGTCCTTTTTTATGAAAAAAAAAAATGTCAGTGAGTTGTAATCAAATAAATGATTGTTAATATAATGCATCTTCAGACTGTTACAACGGCTCGAGATTCTTCGACAACTTCTGAACAGCGCTCTTAACACGATTATCGAAAGAGGCCAACAGCCAACTAAGGAAGCATTGGATATTATCGACAACCAGATGAGAGTTTTCCAGACTGTCGTAGTAAGTTCTGTTGACTTTTTTATTTTTATATAACGAAGACTGTAATATATATTTTCAGCGAATAAAATTCCAAACGTTTATATCTGCGCTGAGACGAGTAGCTTTAGGAAAAACCTTCCCCTGCCTTCTACTTCCACCTAATTTTACCCTAAGTATTTCAAGCATTACTTCCTATTTCAACTACTGTAACAATTTTCACATGCGTATCCCAGAATGGTATACCACTGAACTAGAATGCAGATGGTCAAATGCCGACAGCATATACATAATATGTCACTGGGAACATCCATTGCAGAAAATGATCTCTGCTATTCGTGAAGGCAGTGGAAGGACTGCTGAGTTGATCTCCAAAGCGGCCGAAGCTATAGCCGAAATCCGTAAATTATTCCGTGACGCTCAACTGAAGTTTGACGAAATTCCGGGCCTCACGACAGCGGTTGTCAAGCGTACGGACGAGGTCGAAAAGCGTCGCGGTATTTTGTACCGCCTCAATCCAGAGTACCGCATCAAATACGTGGATAAGTGCTATGACCATTCGTTAGTCATGACTGCTGAAATTGACCGAATCGCTCGCATGTTCCAGGCAACAGCGATGCAATCATTGAAGCCACAGGAAGCAGCCAAAATCTACCAACTGCTTATAGAAGAAATTCAGTCAGCGGCTACATCGGTACGTGATGCTGAAGTTGCGTTTGAATTGGCTAATGAAAAGGCACATCCACGCGGCGGCGAAAGTCTTTTACAGATCGCAGAACGATCTCTTACAATTAGCAAGGCGCTATTGGCAGATGCGAAGAACATGAAGGACACACAGTTACCTGCCATTCATGACTCCCTGCGAAACTCAAAACGCATTCTTTCTGATGGCGATCGCTTAACAGAGGAGATTCGTCGACTAATCGAAAGAGCTCGTTCACTGCTTCATCAGCTGCTGGGTATGCATACCAATTGGGATCCTTACGATCCCAAACACAAGACTATCCAGGACGAGGTGGCATTTACACGCAATCGGATTCAACAAATCATCCGCTCAATTGAGCTCATCAAGACAAAAGTCGAAGAGCTCTACGGAGGTTCATCCGCTGGCCTCGGTAATCAATATGATATTTCGTCTGTTATTATTATGTTTTGTTTATAGATATCGCAGATTCAGTGAGATGCGCACAGCAGCGATGATCTTGTAATATTTAGTTTATGATCGTCTATAATAATCGAAGTGAGGTGTCGGCATTCGGCAGTCAAATATGATATCTTCATATGATTGCGGTCAGCCAAAGCATCCGAAATTAAAAATGCTGTTTGTGAATTAACTAATTGGATGATGCTCGTTGCAGATGATATTGACAAGTTCATCGAGCAAATGCGAATCGATCTTGGCCGGGCTATGCGTATGGCGACGAATGCTGAAGAGTCGGTGCGGCGTTTCCAGGACAAAGACAAGGTATTTAATGAGAACCTCGATGCCCTCCGACGTAAGATTCTCAACGCGCGCCAGAAAGCCTCCAGCATTAGGGTGTCGCTCAACGGCGTGGATAACGGAGTGTGCCACAGAACTTTCCGTCCGTTGGTAAGGGCGCTCTCACAGACAAGGTGGATGTTATAACTGAAAAATGGGTGTTTGCACTGTCATAATGTCATACATCGACAGAAGTTTTTGCCATCAACGATCTGTAAATTATAGGTGTATATATTCTTATCGAGGCAGCATCTTGTAGTTTACAAAGGTATACTAATAGGAATAGAGACGCCGAGGCCTGTCGTGGAAGGGCAGTTATGAGCTATGAAAAACGTCTCTAGTATCCTACATCTTAGATACATACAACCTACAAGTTGGACGTGTAGGTTGGCTCTATATAAGAATCAAAGTTGAGCTATGCTCGCGGCTATTTTTCAGATGCATTTCCCAACCTCAAACACAATCGAAATGACATATTCTATCAGTTCAGAGGCAGCGAATAGCCTGCTGTTCCTCGCAGCCAATACACGCGGAAAGAATGACTTCATTGCGGTTGAGATGGTGAATCGGCGAATTAAATGTAGCTGGAGTATTGGCGACGAAACCGTCTCTGTGGAAAACGAGCTAAAAATTGAAAATACCGATCCGCGATTCGACAAAGAACAGAACTGGTATGATATCGTCGTCGAGCGTACGAGGAACGTCGTTTCACTTTACGTAAAACGTCGCAAGGACAATTTCATTTTAATGGCTAGAGGTAAGCGCCATTAAATGATCGACAGGTTCTTATTGTTCGAGCGACCGTCACCGGTTGGCAAATCTGTTGCTATATGTGATTGATTAAGTAAGCGTTTCCTTCAATTCACCGAAGTACATGTGACAAATTAGATTACACACGTAACTGAACGGTGAACTAGAGAGAGGTGATTTGCAAGAAAAAGTCTAGGCCTAAACTTTTTCTAGAGGTAGTAAATCTATAGAGGTGTTAATAAGAGTTTTAAACAACGCTTATGGAAGAAAAATTGATGCTTTATTTATTTTTACAGGCAGCACAAGCCCAGATCGTGGTCAGCTCGCAATGGATGCCAGCTCGTACTACAGCATCGGATCAATTCCGGCCAACATATCTGCGTCCCGTCAACTGGTAGCTCACAATTTTATTGGATGCCTGGCCAGCCTAAAAGTTGATGGCAAACAAGTGGGTCTGTGGGACTTCCACACGAACAAGGGTTGTGGAGGTTGCCTTGAGGGGCCGGCAAAAGAAGCCAAGCAAGGTGAGCTTTAACAGTTCAACAATGTTCTCGAGAAGCGTTGGATTGATCTATCGAGCTTGTCACATCGAACTGCTAGCATCACCAATCGGAATACGAGTGGAGAGCATTACTTTTGTAGAGTTGTCTTTCATTCACATTAACTGTTCTATTTTTAGGAGTCTTCCAATTTAGCGGTAGCGGTTACTCAATTGTCGACCAGCATTCAGCCTACCGCGACAAAAACTATTTCGTTCAGTTCACCTTCCGTACGATGGACGAAAACGCGTTGCTATTCTTTGCTCCAAATAAGGCCGTTGGTGATTACTTCGCGATTTTCCTACGCGATGGACATGTGGTGCTTCGATTCCGGGTGGGATCGCACGACCTTGAGTTATACACTGAACGGAGATATAACGACGGCAAATGGACCGTTATTTCTGCCGAAAAGAATCAACTTGACGGCATCCTCTCAGTGATACCCAAGGACGGCATCCCCGAACGGCTGGTTGAGCAGATGCCTCCGTCAGCTCAGTCAGCTCTACCCTCGCTGCGTCACGCCAAGCTATTCTTCGGCGGCGTGCCACCGGTCTTCCCGACGGCGCGTTTCGCGGACCGGGTCGTACTTGACGCTTTCCTTGGCTGCGTCAAAGATATTCAAATTTATACAAGCAGCGTCGACCTCGCCACGGTCGCTCATGGTGTCGAGCGTGGGTGCGATATCAAGGTCTGTTCGTTGATCATAAATGTTATGTTCATTATTCTTTTTTACTCTCAAAAGTTTTCAGTGTACTCAATTGAATGTCGTCATTGTAGAAAATCTCATCGGTCACCTTCGATGGCGTGATGGGCAACTATGTAGAATTGAAGAGCCACAAATTACTCGAGCAAGGAAATTTTGGCTTCACGTTCGCGACGGAGAAGCCCGATGGCCTTCTCATGCTGAGCACATTTTTGACGCAATCCAGCGCGGATAGAAGCCTTCGTGAGGTGTGGGACTTCTTATTTCAATCACAGTGTAATACTAGTATATAGCAGGCTTTAAATGATGCAGTTTAGAAGTATAGTTCAATAGAATTAGAATTTTTAGCTAATATTATATCTTAAGGACTTGCGCGTGGACGAATAAGACTTAAATCGGAGCAGGGCTCTTTAAGGAAAGTAGTATTTGTCGATAATGATCGGAGCATTTTTTGTAGAACTATTATTCAGTGTCCCTCAAGGAAGGCCATTTGATCTTCAAATTTGGTATCGGCGAAAACCACGGTGAGGTTCAGTACCGAACGAAAGAAACCTACAATGATGGACGACTACACACGGTATCTGTGCATCGCGTTTCTCGTAAGATCACCATCAACGTCGATGATGGTCGATTTGGCACGCATGATTCTCGCAGGCTACCCGCGGTAAGTAGTAAATATGTATGTACAATACATGGTTATATCAGTCAGAAGTGCATTTGTTTAGTGTATAAACGTGCACAGACATTGAAGTAGGGGATTTTCGGAGAGAAACCGTTTCAGATAAACGAACTGTTTCGATTTGTTTCAGGGTATTGGTGATATCGAGGCCCCTGGTGAAGCTGGAGGTCTGTTCTTCGGAGGCTGCCGAACTGACCTAAATACGATGCACCAGGTGGCCACGAACACGGCATTCCAGGGAGTCATTAAGGACGTAATCTTCAACGATAATATTATGGGTTTTGAGGAGCCAATCAGTCACAGATATGCTAAGATCGGTCGAGAACTTCGCGAAATGAAGAGCCACGTCGATGTTGAGGTTTGGACCAGTCGTACTTTCTGCTACATATACATATACAAAAAGGCAACATCCATTGATTACCAAATTCAATTTGTGAATTTTAGTCGAGTTATATTTTGATATTGGTATCAATGACATCAAGTAGGCGTTATTTTTGTGAGCAGCCTGCCACAGCGATACTGGCGCCTCACCCTTTACTTAGTATGGAATACATCTGTATCTCATATCTATTCCTCCCTGTCCTATGCTAGGGTGATCTGCAAGAGGAAAAAATCACAGAGCATTGGCACGCCGTGGGCCATTCACACAGTTCAATAAAACCGGGCCGATGTAGTAACACTCCACACGAGAGCTTCGAACCAAACGCAATGGCTTTCGGAGAATCCATACACTCGCATATCTCATATCCTATAGAGGTAAATTCGCTAATGGAAGCTTCATCCAGAATTTGTAGATCGACAGGTTGAGATCGAGCGTTACATAAGTTGCCTTTTAATAAGAAATAGTTTAATAAGTGCCAAATATAAATATAGCAATCTGATGCCCAGACCATCACTTATTTACTTGCCGTTAGACATGCTGTATATTTTATCTTCTTAAAAATAAATGTTAATTGTCGAGGAAAGAGATTTAAGAAATTATGATGATAACCAAGCTATATAAAATGTACCGTATTAGTGAAATAGAGAGCGTTTTCCAACCACTGGCTTTAGAATCTGGTGCGAGCGTTACGTTAGACCATGGAATATATCGAAAATCATAGAGTAAAAATATGAAGTTACGAAAAGAACAGGTGAAAAAATCTCACCGGAGAATATCATTGGAAGGAACGGCAGTCCTATGCGATAGGCTTTTCTGGGTTCGTTACTACAAATGATCTTTTGAACAGGTTGCCCAGTATCGGCGCGACTTCACGATTCGTTTTGAGATGAAAGCCCATCACGAATCGGGTCTTCTCGCTATTTTGCGGCACTCAAAACATGGCAACCATATCGCAGTTCTGCTGCGTCGTGGTCAGGTTGTACTACAGCATCGAGACAGACACCGAAATCTTAAGGAGGTCGCCTCTTCTTCTGCCGGATTCGCGGATGAGCGCTGGCACATGGTATGTGTACTGATTCAGTAAGATTTACCGAACTATAACCATGAGTATTCTGAGTAACGGCTAGTGGTATTCCCGCGGGTGTGCACTGGTTTTTCGCATCGAAGTAAGAATACGGTAGGCTTTTGCAAAGAGCATTGTTTTATTTTTTCTTTTTTAATTTTTTTGCAAAGAGGCCGTATCGTAGACGTTCGCAAAACATAATTGATCCTTACATTTTTGTAGGTCACAGTGAGGAAAAGCGGGGAGACGATCAGTTTAAAGGTGGACGACGTGGAACAGGGCTTTTTGGAGGCAAAGCGCAACATGCCGTTAACTACCCCGTTATTTGTGGGTGGACTACCAATGTCCGTGCTATCCACAGGTGGATTCATGTCCGATCCCGTAAGTGCTTATCGATCCAATAACTGGAAATAAATGAATAAGTCAGTTGAGTTTGGCATAAGGTTTTCTATTACTAATATTGTACATTTCATGCTTCTAGAAATATTGGAACTACGTGAGAAGGTTCTGAAAAATTATAATGAATACAGCATTGTGTTCCACCGTAGATTATACATTTTTTCTCTTTTAGTTTTAGTCAACACTTGTTGTAAATAAGCTACTTTTTAATTTATTTACAACAAGTATTGACCGTTTGACTTGAGCTTATTCTTCAGAGCGAATGAACTAGCAAACACTTTATAGCCATCAATTAACGATAACTTGTAACTTTTCATCTTTAGTGGTTAGTTGTCGTACTTTTTATTGCGTTAACTTTCTTTCCAGTCAATGTCTTCAATTCATGGGTGCATTTCAAAGTTAGAACTCAATGGCCAAATTATAGACATGCAGACATCGACTCGGGTCACGCGCTACAATGCCGGACCTTGTCCATCGAAGACGAAACGTGGCGCCCATTTCCGGGGTGACGCGTTCGCTACATACAGTAAGTATCTAGAAGGTTCACCCCATTTTATTTAAGCTCGCACTGTTTGGACTTATAATCATTTCCTAAAAGTTCTGCTTGTTTTCTACCAGTAGGACTAAAAAAGTTCTTAGGTAATTGTCCCAAACACGATTTAAGCAAACTTCTCGTTATAACTAAACATATTTTTTGCGCAATCATACATTTTTACATCGTATTTCAGTAAAACGGTTTGAGTTTTCGGATACGATTCGGGTTGAGTTAAATCTGAAGACGAACGCAAAAGACGCAGTTATACTCTCGTATACTTCTGAGACAGAGAAACCAACTTTCTCGTTAGAGATCTTCAACGGACAGGTAGGTTTTTCAAACCTCCATACGTCATCACGTATTTGTCTCAAACGTAATACAGATATGTGAAACACTGGCCATGAGATCTGCGAAAGCACTATTTTTGTTTATCCATTTGTGCATTTTCCATATGCGTGTACGCTTGATGCAAGTTACTGCTTTGCATTGACTAAAGCTCTGATCGTTCGTTTATAAAGGCAAGTGGTTTGTCAACGTAGGCGACTATGCGACTAGTCAATATTATTAACTGCTAAAGAAAATGCTAATTCGTGACTAAATGTTTTTATTTTACGTAACAACCGATGTATTAAACCGGGTAACCGTTGCCATGAGTTAGACAGGAGCTTCTAAATGTTATTTGATATAGATCTGAGGTCTTTCTGATTTACCGTGCTCACGACGAAGGCCATTTCTTCAAGTTACCCAAAAAATAATCAACTCCGTCTAGGCGCATAACTTAACACCTCGACGCTCTTTAGGTTTATAGCTGATGCGGTCGTAATATTAATAAAAAAAAAAAAAAGAAAATAGACATATTCGACAATCGCAAAATGTATGTTACAGAACAGCGAATTGAGACGTAGGCTTTGTTGAATGGAGGTCTAATTCCTTTGTCTTTTACATTTTACACCCGAACAGCAGCATTATGATAATTATTTATCTATTTTGGCACAACTAGAGCGCTCTAGATGAGCAGGTTTACTTGAAAAAAATGCATGGTTTCTAAAACGTCTTCAGTCTAACCATTTAACTTAAAACTATTATATAAAATATTCTTAATTTCTAGAAAAGTTGTCCTCTTTATTGGTTAGTTGGTGTTTAATAAAATAATCTGAGGTCTCTTTGGATACCTAACAGCAGTGTTTGTCTTCCATTTGCCTTTTACTCGGTTCAGCTCGTCGCGGCCGTTGACATTGGATCGGTTCGCATGCCTCTAACACTTCGAGCCAATACAACACTCAATTGCAACCGGGATTGGCATCCGATTCGTGCATCGTTTGGCCTTCGGCAGGTTTGGCTTCAGTTGGATGATGAACGGCCTGTCGTCGCCAAAGTGCCTGACGACTTTACGACGCCACCCGATATGCAAATGACTCGGGGGCCGCTGTATCTAGGCGGGTTACCTTATACCGCTGATCGGGGCGCACTCCTTGCTCAGAAAAATCTCGTTGGTTGTATAAGTGATATAAGTATCGCTGGTGAACCCGTGTCTTGGAGCAGCCTTCGCGAGGTGCGCAATGTAAGACATCATATGTGTCCAGACTTTTAGTCCCTCACGTACCGCCTTAAAGCTTTAGAGGCTGTCTATTTCTTCGCTGTGGCCCTGTATACCTCGATATTGATGATAATAAACCGCTTTTAGACAATGTATAATTATCTTGAAGTTTACTACAAGTGTACTGTATCAATCGATTTAGTCCTATAATAACATGTAAGTCAGATTCCCTGTGTACCGTAAAGTTGCTGTTAGATTTTGGACAAAATTGGCCTTTTTAACTCTACTACGACCCGGATCCACGCAACTTCCGTATACTGTTTTCCAGCATTGTTAGCATTAATTAGCGTATGGCTTTGCAGCGTTATCTATTCAGCCACTTCACTTACTGGGTTTGCGTATAGCAAATTAACCGCATCGAACAAAATTTCCACATGGAGAAGTACTGATAATGCTGATTTCGCTAAACTAGCAACTAGAGAGATGGGTAGGTCAGGAGGTGAACTATAATTGTTTTTGGGGTTAGCTCGATGATAGAAATGTCCTTTAGGCGAAGCACCCACAAACAAGGTATCATTGGTAGATGGCTTAGATTGAAGTATAACCGAATAACAAACTTACGTATGTGGCTCTTATATTTTCGCTCATTTAGTTAACCCTAACTATATTCTTCGGTTTTTCTCAAATCAGATACTGTTACGTTGGCTGCATAAAATATAACGTCAACATTGTCTCTCGTTTTTCGATAATTCAGTTATTTAGCCTTTAAGCGATCACGCTCAAAGATTTTTACCCATCCGCTGATTCAAATTCGACCGGCCGGGTATGCAAATTTTACGGCTGTTGAATTTATAACAGTTGCAATGTATACCAAACTATTCCATTACTATTGACTTATCTTTCTACCTTTCTTTGCTGTAATATATATATATATATATATATATATATATATGCGCTTAGAGACAAAGCCGCACGCATACATAACACGTATGTGGAGAGGCGTTGCACAGTTCTTAGGTGTGGAAAATTTTTTTAGGTTAAAGTTCATCATGATAAGAAGACGATTTCAATCATAAAACCAACGCCGTCTTGTAAAGTTGACTAAACGGCTAAAGAAGTACACGCATTTGACTCATGTGGCTCAAGAAACTGTACTTTGTAAAGCTGGCTGGCCCACAGTATATTGAAAGCAAGAATCTCATGCACACACGCATAATTCGGTGGTTTAGTCATCCAAGTGTCTGATCAAAAAAGCCAGAAGTTGGTGCCGCCTAAGCTCTCGCCAACAGTATATCATACACACCTGCCTGAATAAAAATTGCTGAACAATGGAATAGGTTAACTAATAAGCTACTAGCGAAAATAAGATGCCAAAATGGGCAAAGGAACTTACCTGTACAGTGGAGCCATGAAATCGATTACTTCTAATCCACTGCGCTCAACTGAATTCAAACCTTTCCAGCTGAGGTTTACCGCAGCTGGTGACGGGCATAACAGCAATGACGGATCGCTTTGTTGGATGTCCCAACTTGTTCAAACAATTAGTTATTTCAATAGCAGATATTTTGTTTATAGAGGTCGCATAACCGAACCGGGCATCTCCAGGTTACACATGCATTACTTAAGAAGCGGCCTAATATGACACGAGGCCCAAGGGAAAACAAACGATGCGATTTTCTATTGTTCATCTCTCGACCGTTTACGTTATTAGCGACCTGACCTCTTATGTAATTGAACTCTTGTGGGACTTCCTCACGCAGTCGATCTTCAAAGAAATCAATAAAATCAACACTACGTACCACAGAATAGCATAGAAGACTAACAGGAGCAATCGAAACAAACCTGTTTACCATGTACTGCCATCTTTTTTCTACGTATTGTCGTATCTTCGACGGAGCCTTGATTCTGACATGACAAATTGTTTATACAATTCTAACAACTTTCCAGATGCTCTTTATAAACAACTTCATAAATACCTAGTGAATATTTCACTGTCGTTACGTGCTTAGGAAAGGAAAACCGTCTCCGAGGTCATTGTTTGTACGGTATTCATTTTGGAGTGAGACTCTTTAGGGAAGTCTATTAGAATGTGTTACATATCGCGTACACACTTGATTTGGAAAAGCATCAACAAGGAACGAAAAAGGGGATATAGCATATACTAAAAAATCCCTGAAGCTGTAATCCTCGTAGCCATATTCTTTTAATGGCTACCATTGATTTCAGCAAGACGAAATACTTCGAACAGCACTTCTTGAGCTCTCCCAAAGCAACGACAATATAAATAATATTTTGCCTAATAGATGTTACGACAAATGTTACTGTGTTATAATGGATATATAGTCCGCTACTTCTTCTTCCTTTAAAAACCTTTCTACAAGCTACCTTTTAGCAAAACAATGACGAACCTTTGATGGACAACCCGTTGAAGCTTCATGACATGCCGCTACATAGTGGACGTCACCGTGCTCATACCTTTCAAACATAGGCGTCATAGAGGCGAAATAAAATTCACTCAAATATGATCATTCTTATGACACTCAAAGCTTAGCTGAAAAGTACAGTGAAGTTCCAATCGTTCCGTCTAAGCAACTTCTACATTTAAGGCACAAATTCACACGATTATCCCATTTACTATTAGTGGTAGTCTCCGAGATGGAGGTCTTTAACCATTTCCCTACTGGAGCTTGCCATGTGATTTTCTTATTTATGCGAATTATCGGTCTATGAAAAATACAGAGGCAATGCACGCGCCGTCCACCTCTTGGGCTTCTGCTGAAGCTGAGTATTGCGGATTGTACACGGTGCATTAGTGTGTAATGGTATCAGCAGTAAGTATGCGTAGTGTTTTTTGTTTGTCATTATCTAGGATCTCTGTATATGTGAGGCGATAATATCACATTCTGTATTTACTAGGGTGGCCTGAATGTATCGGGTTCGATAAGTATTCGCTTTAGCTCGACTGATTCTTTTGTGAGTTGCATTGTCCGATTCGATTACTTCCTTATCCAGTTTAGCCTCCTCTCCCTTCCGGTAAATATCATTCAAATAAAAGCCCGGTAAATATCGATGAGTGTTTCTTCAAGCCTGCTCTGCGAGACCTAATCTGGTTAGCTACTTCACTCATTGGGCACATGTGTTGGGGGTATTTAGATTGACGTTACCAGGTCACTTCATCAGTGGCATTTGCACACCACGAATTTAAAGATAGAATAGTTAATGAAAAAAAATTATACCAGCTGAATTTGAAACGATTATAATAAAATTATTCTATTGTAATTATTTGAATCGAGTTTTATTTCAGTAATTAGTCTTACTGCATCATACAATGATCAAACCGAGAAAATTCATTACATCCATATACAATTAAATATGTCCCAAAAATTTTTCATTTGATATCTTTGATGACTGTTGTACAGCCGTCGGCAGATAACGGCTAATCGATGGGATATAGTCATGATGGAACTTTGTACAGTACAACGGCCGGTTTGATGCTTCGAATATTTTCTGGCAGTATCGAGTCTTTTCCAAACGTAACTTTTCAAAACTGCTTTTTCAAACCCTTCAAAATTGTCCCGCCAGGGATCGGACCGCGGCAGCCGTATCGCAATTTGCTATGAAACTTTTGAAGGAACACAGTAAATGAAAAAATAAATTTTTCTTTATAGACATTTCTGCTTTAGTACCGAATATTTATCTAACGACCTGGCAGTTCTACAGAATATTAGCTGGTACTCAAAGATTTACTAGTTAAGTGTTGGAGCGTAGTTTTTTTATGAAACGGCTCACGTTAGCGTACTAGAATTTTTGAGATCACCGTTGAGCATGCCGTAACTCAATAATAATTATATATTCATTGTAATATCCAAAGTCCCTTTCGCAAAGTTATGTATATATGCGCCCGTCGCTTGCTAGTTTGAGAACCTACATTTGACTCTTTTACTCTTAGTTTTATTAGATTTTACTCTCCTACAGATCCAAAACGAAGATCCTTGACTACTTTTTTAAAATGGATAAGAGAGTTAAAAATTAAGTCTGACGTTTTCGTTGGTGCACGCACAGTATTCATAATATTTCTCAATATTCAGAATAATATTCGTAATCATAGCTTTAGCTACAAAAAAAAAACTTCTACGCAGTACTCCGCAGTGGCTCCGCTGTACTGGAACCATTGTTCCTCTAACACTCATTGAGAAAACTATCTCTATAAACGTTTCGTATAACCTTAATCTATGTATATGTGTGTGTCTGTAGAGCGACTAACTTCGACTCTGATAGTGCTATTCGCAGGCACAAGGTGATGATCCTAAAATAGTGGTTTTGGGCTTGATTTTGTCTGTCTGTATTGTTACGGTAGTTGTTATCGCGTTAACACAACAGAATGTGCCTCTGCAAAGCAGTCAGCATGTTCAATTGCCAGACATTTTTGAACACGGCTGCCGTGTCTGCCTTCTGGGCTACAAGGAAGTGTTTTCACGGGGCAGCCAACTAGAACTATGCAAGGAGTTGGATATCGTCGAGCTAGTTAGGTAATTCCACAGCATCGTCGGCGCGTCCTTCGTTGTACAATACCTCCAACGAATGTACGGTTTTTTTTGACTCGAACTGCCTTGTGGTGACCGGACGGTACAGAACAGTCTCAGCAGCCGTAATGGTCTTAATAGCTTTCTGGCCCTGAAAGAAGCGTCCCATTAACCAATTTTCGTTATCAAATAATAGAGAGTTCCATATTCTGTTGTTCTTGACGAAAACTATGCGCGGCAATACAATGCAGTTAAGTTACCTAGAACAGACACGTAACACATAGCAATTATAGGCAATATATGAAAATCGTTATATAGTTATATAAAACAGTTACCGTGGGGTCAATACTATCTGCGAAGCAAAAGATAAAAACACTGCTTCACAGACGCGTTTTATTATTATACTCCAATGGCTTGTGTCTTTAGTCAATCTTCTTTAGGACAACAGTAACTTATTATAAGAACTACGAAAAACGAATCCAACTAATGAGAACCGGCGTCGTTTGTTCCTGCTGCGTTTTTTTGACTGCTTCGAGAACCGATCAGCCGGAGGACAGACGGATTTAGCAGAGGACTGATGGGGATTTCGCCAAACCTATGAAAAATCTCACAGAATAGCAACAAACGGCCCGCGTTTAATCGTTCGACATCAATATCCTGCCGGAGTCAGTTTTGTCACACCCAGAAGATGTCACAGACATATAAAGCCAATGGTGTTCATATATAAAGCAGAATTCGTCAGGGCCTCTACGAACTGACTGGCCCGATGTGTACATCTTGATATATACAGGAGGAAGGTGGAATTCTTTTCGGCGACGCCTTACGAGAAAGTCCAAAGATGTTCTTCCAAGCACAGTAATCGGTCTGTCACTTTCAATCAGAATCGCTAAAGAAGTACTTGCAGGTGCTTGTAGCAGTGATAGAATTCAATCGACGTGTAGTTAATATGTCTTTGTTTGTTAATCGTTTTCACTCGGTTCGAGACCACCTGTCGCAAAGGAAAGGGTCTAGGCCTTTTTGCGGGTGGCCTAGCTGCTGGTAGTTTAGAAGCAGACCTACTGAAACACAGCCTTCATTCGCATCAGCATCCAGTTAGGCATGTCACTGAAGTTCATGTGTAAATATCTAATCTCTCAAGAGTTAGTTGTTATTTTTCAGGATTAATCAGTTTTAAATGTTTTTCGCATTTTATACAATTTTATTCATAAAATCACATCCTCTGAAAATGAATCATGAGTTGAGAATGGCCCGATTTCTATAAAATACTACAAAATGTACGAAAATCTCATTGCTTGCTTCCAAAATTCGTAGAAAAAAAGAGGCCGACATGTCAATCAATTTTGCATAATCGAATCAATAAAGCTGAACGAATATTCGCTCAAATTAAACAGCTAAAATGTTATTTACATCATCTATTGTGTGACCTGCATCGCATCGCATCGCATAGCTTATACTACTCCACTAGCTCTTCGTCAGCAGAAGTAGTTCTTAACGGCAATAGCCGACGTGAACCCTGACACATTTTTAAGTAGTTTTTTTTTTGCCATCGAAGTGGCGCGGTACCGGCACTAGTCGGTTACAATAATATTTTCGCGCCTAATATTCCCTTAGCGTTTTCAGCAGATCTTCATCAGAAGCATCCTCTTCAACTATTGAGTTTTCTTCATAAAGGACCGAAGATGTTACAATCACACTCGAGATAAAAATAAACTAGTTCGTTGTTTCCTTTCGTTCCCTTTTTTTAAATGCTTTTACAAACTGCTTTTAGAAAACATCATCACAAAATTCAACATTACGAACTGCGTTATCTCGACCACATCCGCATTACGGCGGATGGCATGCAATGGGTTATGGCTTCCACGAATACGGCTGGTATAACTGCACGTCGCGGCTAGCGGTTCGAGGCACCATGGTACAGCGCATGCCCGGGGGTACAAGGTTCGAAGAGCCACTTCGATTAAGCTCAATCAAAGGAGCTCAATAACATCGAGAAAGTTATCGTATTGTCTCAGTCATCATATACAGCTTCGGAAAATCATACTGAATGTGATAGATCTAGCACAGGGTGGATAGTCGATATATGTCTCTTCTCTCCAATTTTTTTACGTATATGTTGCGACCGAGAGAGCGAACCTTTGTCAAAGATATACATTTAAATGAGGTAAGCATCCCGGTACTGGCTTATTCAGGACTAGTTTGTTTCGGCAGTGATGTATACTGCCAGAAAACAAGCCAGCAAGCAACGAAAGAGCTTAATATGGACATCGCCACTGCGACGTTTATGATTTCTCGGTCCTCTATTGGGCCCATGTCGCCTGACAAATAAACGGTAAACTCTTGTGGACATACAAATTGAACAAAGTTGAGCCTGAACAACGCACGCGGATTATAGAATTTACAAACTCGCCATTTGACTAGAATGCACCAAAACATCGGCATCTTATTTTTTATAAAGAAAAACGTGTATACAAGTTCATACCTCTCGAGGTAGTGGATATGACTTTAAAACCATACTGATTTATTTTCTAGTGATTTAATTACACAGTAATCGGTAGTCAATATTGTAGTGGAAAAAAGGAAGTTTCTGTTTCCTGCTTTTACATTGTATGCATTACAATTACAGCTCCGTTAGTATCTGGAATGTATTTAACGATTTCATACTTTTTTCATTATTTTTTCCGTTTAAAATTCAAATTATTTGCTTGAATGCTTGAATTTGAATGCTGCAGTCCCGCGCAAGGAAAATTTGTCATCGGTTTCAGCCTGCACAGGCGTAGTATCCAGTTACTGCTGACCAAACAGAGTTGCCTATTTGCAACAACACCAGCGCTTTTCGCAAAAAAAGACCGCAAAAAAGCGCTATACTATTGAAGTGTTTATGAAACATTAATTTATCATAAAGGTTTTGGATATGTCCTAAATAATATCTTAAGTGCCATTTAACGTAATCGTGTTCATTACGTAATCGAAATAGATTCTTTCTTTTAATGCGTCAATTATTTTTTTCGCGGGTTTCAAGCTTAGCGAAGTCATATGTCTCAGCGGAAATTTTAAACTAGTGGGCCCCGGTTTTAGAGCCAGGAACTGAAGATCGTAACGACTTAGTCCCAAGGAAAATTCCTATCAATTTATTGGTATCGTTAAGGATACACGGTGGGTTCGACGGCTTAGCCACTTATGCTGACATAGACCAGTTGCCGGTTGCTGTTTCAAGTCCCTCTGTTACAACTTATGTGGTATTTAACAACGCATGAGGAGTACATTATTTGTAAACTTCTAATTATCAATTGCTACGTGACAACTAGAATCTAGTAGACCGCTTGCGCCCGGTTGGTCATGCAAGTAGCGGCTTCGATTTATTTTGGACATGGCATTAGATAGAGACCGCGTCTCCCAGTGTTGATTGTTTCGAAGTCCTCTAGCCCCTGCTCGCCTAAATTGACGCGCTGTAGTATGTTGTCGATCCGTGATCAAGAAGCGGACAATTGTACGGAGATCAAGAAGTTGTGCTAGTGGTGAATGTTGCGTACGTCGTAGGTCTTCGTATCGAAATATTGTTGGAATGCAGAAAACATTAATTGACGACAATGAAATGAGAGCAGTATTATGTGTTCGTGATGGTCATGGTGTGTCTGTTTAGCACACTTATAAGGAAACTGTGATCGGTCCTTCTGATGATTTTCAAAGGGAACACTTTCGACGGTGATAATATAACAGTGACGAGATTAAGCAATGATCCTGACCAAAGGTCTAGCCGCGTGATTTGATATAGAAAGACCTTTTGTTTCCAAGGGTAAGGAAAAATGTATTTTGAAAGCTGCACATGTTGTTCCATTCAATGGAAACTGCAAACAATTTCAAGCAAAAACGCTTTATTGATTGTACATAGATATGTATTGTAGATATATTATAGCTCGTGCATTTTTAATATGAAGCTGCTGTAGAAACACGACTTCGATGAGCACCTATGATCACGAAAGACTGTTTCGACTTAATTAAGTTATTAGAAGAATGCAACTAATTTGGATAATTTTTTTGTACACGATTGTGCTTGCGCTGTGGTCTTCTGATACTATCTATGTGTTTTATTGCCATTTTAGAGCTGAAGCCTATAGGATCACTAATCGCCTAATCTTTACGGCGAACCCTCGCAACAATGTCCACTGATGAAGAATCAGATAGCATCGGCACCCGCCAAAGAAAGGTAAACGCGTCTTTCAATGAAATGTATGTCTAGTTTCAACGAATTGCGTGCACATCAAATATATTCCAGAATATACAAGTAATTCACTTGACTTATTTTTTCTTCATTCTTCATATTTCTTCATCACATATGTATATCTATCAAACTGCATTATACCCATATGTATATCATGCCTGATTATACAATTGTTACATAGTCAGATCCCAACAACTTGTTTCACAAATTGTGTCTCTGACAAACTTTCCGGATATTCTGTCTTGTCTTCGGTAAGACAATACGACTGCAAATACGCTGCAGAAAATTCAGTATTATCAAGAACTAAATATTAAAGTTTCATGTTTCATATGTTTATAAAATAATATTTCAAAGGAAATCAACGTAAGGATAGCTATATCTATTAAGAGTATTAATACGTAAGGCATGCCCTTTTTTTCTATTGATTAGCCGATGTCGTTCCCGCTGCGTGTGACCTCCCTGTCTCAAATTCATGCGGTTTTGTCCCGGTTTGTTAAACAAACAGTTCCAGCCATGATCTATAGTTTTATTTGTTAGCAATTTATTTATTAACTCTATTGTCAACTTTGTTGTTAGATTTATGTATTAAACAAGCGCATTGCTCAGTTACATGTATATTTGCTGGTGAATTCCTTTCTTTTTAGGAGTATATGTGGAGCATTTAATATATAATCGGATATTATAGTGAGCAAATCGGAAATCCGAATTGACCATTCGTGGTTTGTGTTAAACAAGAGAACAATCCAGATAACATTCATTAACTTTAGCATCATCAGGAATACGTTGTTTGAAACAGAGAACGCCGATGTCAACTCAGTTGTAGATATCATTAGGTTACACTATAAATATTACCACACGGTTAATGGTTTACCGAAGCAATAACAGTACATGCAATCAAGTTTTAATAATTGTAGGCTATATCAAATTTTACTAGTAAACATTCAAAGATACAATTGACATCGCACTTTCTATTAGCGCTGGAGCTCAATCTGCGAACTTGCCCATTGACTCATGTTCTATAGCCAGCTTGCAGAGGCCGATGATGCTCCCTTCTCGAATATCGTTTAATTATTCGAATTAGGCTGTACGTTAGCAAAACGTTATAAACGTCATTACATTTTCAGCGGCGTGGGGGCCCAGCCATACAGTCGGACGATGGCGAATCTAGTTCCGACGACAGTCTGATCATGCCACGAAAAAAAGGTATTCGACGAGTACTAAGCAGCAGTAGCAGTGCATCAAGTTCGGATCACTCCGATTCTGGTAGCGAAGTCGAAGCAGGAAGCAGCAGGCGACGTCGTCTCGCTAAAGACAAAGCTGTCGTCGAAAGTAGTGACGCCGAAAGCGATTCTAGTTCGATTGGAGGGGCTGGTAATGCATGCCCCATCTGTCTTGGTAAATTGGATGGTGCGGCCTTACAGGGTAAGCTGGATCACGTGTTGTCTCTCTAACTAGTTTTGCAATGGTATCATAAGTAATAACAGCAGTAACCCATACCAGTAAGGAAACTATTATAGATATGTTAAGCAAAAAATGCAGTTTATCATCGATGTCTTCTTATCTGTTTTAGGTCGGCCAGACGGATGTGAACATATTTTTTGTTTTGAATGTATCGTTGCCTGGAGCCGTAACAATTCTACTTGCCCTCTCTGCCGAACTGCTTTTCGGAACATAAAAATTCTTCTACAAGGTAGATTTATCCACTGCCCTTTGTAGATTTGTTGTGGTAATACTCCAATGAGTTTACGAATGTGCCCTTTAGTGTCGCAAAATTTTAAATGTTTGCATGTTGGCTAATGGCCGAGAACAATTGTCAAATCATATAGATACCTTATATGGATTAAAATATTGAGGTTCGGGTCAGTTGCTAATTATTTCCCCGACTTTCCACTCTTGATTAAACAACGATGCATGCCTGTTTCAGGATCGATCCTTGAAGAGGTGCCAGTAAAACAGATCACACCTGAAGAGCTTGACTTAAATGCCTACGTGAACGACATCGTATGTGTCGTGTGTGGTAGTTCTGACAGAGAGGATACCCTACTTTTGTGTGACGAATGCGACGATGCTTATCACTGCGCATGTCTTAGCCCACCATTGGCATCTGTCCCTCCGGGACAGTGGTTTTGCCCCAGGTATACTTTCTATGGTTTATGTATATTAAACTGAATTTAACAGAGAAAAACTAGTAGTGCCGTTTATAGTTTCCTTTATATTCATGACAGACTATAGAGAGGCTATAGTACTCGATGTTCTTAACGAAACTAAGACTAAGGCTTTACTGTTTGCTTCAGTTAGTCCAAATCTTTACCTTGTCAACGTCAGAACAGACTTGCTTCGATTAGCAAAGGGGATTTGCAATACAATGCTTTATTTATAATCAACACCTCAGCAATTTTATGTGAAATTGCTTTTATTTAAGCCTTATTGATCCAAATTATTGTTTTATAGCGTCTTGTCTAACTAAGGATGTGCATGCTTCTGACAGAAAAAGATTTGTTTCGGGACGATGTAATGTACCTGGCAATACCACTACCAAACCAAATTTTGCTGATTCTTTCTCTACAACTGACTGTGATGCCTAGAAGAGGCCTTATGACCTAGAATTGAAGTGCTAATTAATATATTTAATGACCAAGCTAACAATCTTCGCAATAGGGTGATTGCACGCCATAAATAGCGCGTGTATAATATATTCACATTTTATTGAAAATGTAAAATACCGTTTTAAAAAACGAGGCCTATAAAAATGAGTTTATACACATTATATACATCCAAAGCTTTGAGGGCATATAGACGTTACACTTAACGCTCAGAATACTAGCCGTTTACACAAACTTTAAAGGTTCTAATGCAAAGGTAAGCTGCGAACCAAGCTATCAAAAAGTTGTCTGTTTCACAGTGCGGAAGAAGGGCCAAAAGCTTCGAGGTTAGTCTGCTGTGTGTGACTTGTTTTTAAGCAAGTTTGAAATCGAACTATATAGCACCAAGATTTGTTGCGTCTGGTTGCTCCGTTGAACTGAATGTCCAGTAGCTAAAATGTTCCGTATCCTGGTTTGTTGATAAATTGGGCGTCTAATATCAGTTTCTATGCATTAGTATCTTGATATATGACTTGAACTAAGATACTTTGCTGGATTTTATACACTACAGGAGTTAGCAGTGCAGATTACTTATTGGAGGGATCTGCCTTTAAACCCGTTCCGTAGATAGGGCTAAAGATAGCTATTCTAAGGATTTCTAGCATATCATCCTCATTTTTCTGCGAAAAATTCGTGATAATGAATCCACATTGACAACTTAAAGTTCATTACAGTTATTATAGCCGACAGTCTTTTTGACGTTTCGCTTGTTCGACTGTAGCTCCTGCAAATGCTGCCAAATGCTTAATGCATAGACACCGACATCGTGAACAGCATTCTCGAAAGGTGTTTTTAGGGTGGCAGGTTCACTTCTCTAGATTTATTGTCGAAATTGATTAAGTGCGGGATACGTCTCTTCAAAGGTATCCTTCAGGATTTCGACTTCATCATTAAAACCTACAAAATGCTTTGTGACCTTAAATCAGAGTATTAAGTTCATTTCTGATAACCAAAATATCCTTGTAGCGGCGGGGTCGTACCATCGTTGTAGTGCCAACGAGGTGTACAAATAATTTATTTACCTGGCCTGTTCATTTCCAGCTGCGATCTAAAAATAATCATTTGAATAACAGAACATCATATTTGTTTTCCTTTATCCGTATAGGTGCGTACCGGGCGAGATAGATGATGACGAAAACGAGTCGCTGCTAGGAGACGGTGACGAAAGTTTTGGTATATTCGTTCCACGTACACGAGCTACGGAGAGGGTTCGAAGAGCAGTACAGTCGACGCGTCGAGGGGCCAGTGGCGGGGCTCCCGGAACAAGTAGTCAGTCTCAACGCGCTGGAGGATCTTCCGGGCGGCGAAGGGCGCTTACAAGCATGACAGCAGGAACGGCATCCTCAAAATCCTCAACTCAAAAAAAAAAAATTTCTATTACACGAAAAAAAAGCACAAAGAAACGAAAAAGTATGACAACCGTTAAACGCCGAAAAACTACTCGCCGAAAAACTAGCCGACGAAAAGGCGGACGACGAAAAACCATTGTCCGAAAGGCGTACACGTCATCCCTTGACCATCAGTGCCGTATCGCGCGATCGCTTGGTTTATCCGACCGTGTCCTAAACAAGCTTAATCGAAACAGTTTCGGCTTCAGTGCGTTGAGTATAGACGAGCCGTCGACGAGTCGTGGGACGGTGGCATTCGAGTCTATAAAAGTTAGCCGAGGAGGTATCAGTGGACTGGTCCCGGACCTACACGTTTTTGGAAGTCGGAACAACTATGAGCCTGGTGGTAGTGACAGCGAAGACTATCTTCCTACCAGCCGGTCTCGACAACTTGAGCAAGAACTTCGTCCTCCGTCACCACCACCACCTGCTGGCGGAGATCTTCTTAGTGGGCTGCTAGAAAAGCAATCAGTCTTGCTAAGTAGAAAGTCCGAGCTTAAGCGAGACCCATCAGGAAAAGTGGTTTTAGTAAACGAGTCCGTCACATCAACTGCCAAAGCCCGCGCATCAAAGATATTCACGCCATCGTCATCCTCGTCATTTACGAGGCGAAGCTCATTTGATAGCTCGCCTCCCACGAAACTACCGGCTGTTCCTATTGTCTCAGAAACAAGGCCAGCAGTGAATAGCGACGGAGTGGATATGCATTATAAGCCGTCACGAGTATCCAGGGTAGACATGAATATTATTTCTAAATATGACAACACTATAGAAGATGTACTTACTAACGTTATGTCAACATCATGTGAAGTTGATTCGCCGAGACGGCCAAGGCTGTCTAAGCAGGACTCGCAGCAGTCAGTGGGAACCAGTACACAACAAGCCTCAGCCCTTTGCCTCGAACGATTGCGGAATATCGCTGATGCAGTTACATCAGATATAACCGCTGATACGGGAACGGCTGATACGAGCTCAACTAAGCAACAGCTAGATAGCCAGGCTAGCTTGTATATCAAGCAAGAGATACCCTCATCCCCTTTGCAAATTAAGCAAGAACCCGACGATGAGCAAGCGTACCAGTGTATTAAGATCAAAGTTGAGGCGTCCGTGCTAGACGGCCCGGAACACTTACGACGAACAGTCGTTGTAGGTAATGATTTAAATGCGTCAGATACTAAGGCAGTAAAATCAGAACCACCGCCTTACGCCGAAGCGGAGCAAAACGTTGTCAGGAAGAAGGCAGTTCAGGCATCACACGGTTGGATTAATTCGCTCCGACTGACAACACCCACTGTGATAAATTCACTGAGTGCGTTCAGCGAGCTCGACGATGACCAGTCAGGTCTTTCAGTAGCGCCAGCTCTATCGTTTCACCCACGGCTATCTATCAAAGAAGAGCCTAGAGAGGTACCGTGTTATTTCGACTTATGCCGAGTAAAGACCGAACCCGTGAACTTTGATGAGGCTGCACCGCAACCTATGCTTTTAACGGAGAAACCTAACAGATATATAAATTCAGCCGGCGAAGGTGGGGATCCAGAAGCGAGCTCATCAAAGATCAAGACGGAGCGCCATGAGGGCGAAAGAAGTAAGATTTTTTACTTTACCATATTTTCTCTTTCCATAATCCTAAAATATGTATGTACTATGCAATAAGGGCAAACACTTGGGCGGAAAACGTACTTCACGAAATTGACTAGGTCAGCTTGAATCGATTCTCTCCTGATTTTTGATGCAGAAAGTTGTATTACTTTCTTGTCGGCTTGCTATCATGTTCCTTATGAAAGAAAGGACTAAGCAAAGCGAACTGTAACGTTGTACTGATTCTCTAGAATTGTTTTGTTGGGTCACGATTTTAATATTAGCTACGATCTCCGGACCTGCTTGGGCATCCCGCTTGGGCCCCTACCGATTTCTACAATGGCTTAGTAAAGGCTGCGAAGGCGTTCCTCCATACCTCTAATTTCATTTGATTTGGCCGACAAGCGTTTATTAGCACGCGCGATCTCACATATGCTCACCATCGGTAGGTGTTGGCTGCTCTGTGACTACTTATATTACTGTATTGCATGACACATTTGCCTTTCATTTTTCCTACAGACTACTGGGACAGATTACTGATGAAATTTTTTGGTTGGTTGTAAATATTTTCATCGTCTTTCGCGTGCAATCGCGTCCACTTTGCCTAAAAGGTTCATGGTGGCATTATTTCGATATTGACTTATTTCGATAATGCAAAATACATGCTTAGAGATAGAATGAGTGTGGTTAATATACGCGATCGGTGCGATATGAAGCAGATATACTGGACATGGGATTATTAAGCTTCAGTTAAGAGCAGGAACTCAATTGGTTCATACTGTCACATTTCAATTCCTAACGTTATGACATGTAGTGAATACTTTTGCTACTCTAGCTATTAAGAAATGCATTTGGCTATAAGTATTTCATAGGAGTAGTGTGAGAATCTCAACGCATGGCTTAAGCGAAATGCGTATATTTTTCTGTAATGTCTGAATTTTGAAATGTCGATAAAGCTCAGAGAAAACCAGCTGCTGAATTGTGGGTCGCAAGATTCATATTTTTTATACAACAAGAAAATAGGTTATATTTGCGATAGACGCCAAGAAATAGATCGTTGATTCAGTCTTACCGATGACTTAGCAGAAACCGGAGGTCGTTTGTTATTTAGGGATGAATCAATGTGAACGATCATTACAATGGGTCAAATCTCCTTACATATACTTTCAATCTGCTAAAAACGATTTGGGTACAAGGATGTTTACTTAGAGCGTTTTTGAGTTTAGCGATACGCACACAAGCAACTGAGAGAATCGAACAACAGGATAATTACATTTCGGTTTGTTGCTTTAAGAAAAAAACAGGTCATGTATTGTAACATCCTTATCTTTTCAGCTTTTAAAGAAGCATATACGAGAAATGGGGCGAGATCATATGACGGTAAGAGGTCCACAACAACAGATAGGAGAAAAGGGTCACAAATTACGCAAAAGGAACGGGAGTCAGAAAGAAGCATGGGGGGTGGGTATTCAAGACGGTCGCGTAGCAGAAGTTTTAACCGAACGATGAAAAGAGAGCGTCGATCCGTCGACGGTAGTCCTCAAAGAATTAAGAAAGAGAGAAAATCGAAAGAACGAAGCCCTTCTAATAGTCTAAAACGAATTAAGACGGAGAGTGGATTAAACCGCGAACGATATATATCGAGAAGTCCAAAAATTAAAGAGGAGCGGCCATCTAGCGAGCGAAGTTTGCCACGAAGTCCGCGAATAAAGCAAGAACGAATTTCTCGAGAAAGCAGCCCACAAATACAGTGTTTCTCAAGGAAAAAAAGCGTTTCCAGAAGCCCGACGCAAATCGAGAGAGAACCTCGGCCTGCCGAGCGAAGTCTCCCGCGAGATTCGTATCGCCGCAGCAGAAGTCGAAGCCGTGAAGTTTCTCGGCAAATTCGGTCGCGAAGTAGAAGCCGCGGTAGAGACAGAGCAGAACGTTCAGTCAAACCTGCCAGAGACTGGGATAGGGAATCGGGAAAATCCAGAAAATTTCAAGACGGGAGTTCAAGGGAAAATGACTACAACAGAAAAAAAAGCCGCAGCAGAAGTCGAAGCCGCGCAAGAGAATCGCGTCGAGCAGAAAAGGAGTCTACAAGTAAGCGAAAGAATCCGAGGCGAAGGAGGGATGCCAGCGCTGAAGAACGGCAGAAGAGCGACAGCCCTGATAATAGACGAAAAAGAAGGAGTCCTAGTGTTGAGGAAAATCGACGAAGGAGAAGCACGAGCGTAAAGAACAAACGGCGGAAAGGAAGTCCTAATGTTGATGGGCGAAAACAAAAAAGAAGTCCGAGCTCGGAACGGACCAGAAGAAGAAAGGAAAACCCAGGTTTTGAACGTAGACAGCGCAGCAGAACGAGTCCTAGCGGTGAAGGCGGAAGACGCAAAAGGAGCTCAAGTGTCGAAAACGATCGGAGGCGAAGGAGAAGTGCGAGCACCGATGACCGAGGGAGAAAGCGGAGTCCCAGTTTCGAAGATGGTAGGCGGTGGAAAAAGAGCCCAAGGAAAATGGAAGGCGCGGGGCAGAAGAGAAGTCCAAGTGTTAAACGGAGACGACGAAGGGAAAGCGCCAGCAGCGAGGACAGAATGAGAAACCAAAGTTCGAGCGCTGAGGAGGACAGTCGTCGAAGAGCAAGTCGCTCCCCGACGAAGTTGACGAAACGACATATTCGTATCGAAAAGGAAAAATGCAGAGATCAATATGACTCACTGGAGCTGCCTAGGGTTGCTGCTCCGAAAATCGAGTTGGACCATCTCAAGGTTGAAACACATGACTTACAAGATGAGGATCGCCCCTCGTCGTCCTCATTTGAAGAAGTGAGAGACCGTGATCAAGTCAATGAGATTAAGATGGAGCCAGAGTCTGTTAAGAGCGAGTATAGCACTTGCCGCTCTTCAGGCAAGCACTCTTTGAGCGAGGCAGAATCAATACCAGATTCACAGCTTCTCGTCGGCATTCGTCCAAAAGCTGACGAATCGCTAGATTTCGCCGCAACTGACACTTCTGAACAGTTGCTCCCCTCAAGTAATATGATGTCAACATTTAATGTGGCCCTGCAGAGTGGGCATTCCGTTCTGTTGGTACCAGGTCCAATCGCTGGCACGTACGTGCTACCTGGCGCCGAAACAGAGATTCAGTCACCACAGCCTGCTAGCAGCACAACGCCTTCTCACCATGCTGAAGGATATAGCAGTGGAGTTGACTCAGATGACAACAACCTCGATGGATTGGAGTTAGTCACATCCACACCGGGAACTGATGCTCCTCTTAACAACAACACACACTGCAGTAAGTGATCTATTATTGATAAGAGCATCTTGTTTGTACATCTGGATGACATGGCATAGAACATGCAAAAAAAACGGTGAAATCTTCGAGATTAGACTATCTTATATATACTTATGGTTAACAGTCTTTTTAGTTTTAATAACCAACTATGTTGCATTTGCGCGAATTTCACTATTAGCGTGAACGGCTCAAAATTTAGGCAACCTCCGTTTTCCTTCTCCGGTGTTTTAATTTTAAACACACTATAACATAGCATCGCTTAGTATAATGTCGGCAATGAAAACACGAGAGCATTAACTGACTTTTTCCCCAAAATAGCATTTTCACAGTTCAAGCTAATTAGTAAAAACGATTTAGAAAGACTTGGATTGCAACAGGCTACTGACATAGTTGCCTTTGCATATCATATCATGCACTAATATACAGAGGGAGTATATGTTGTTGCCTGCAAATACAACAGTAGATTAAAATTTTTTTTTTTCAACTGTCATTTTCTATTTTCAGTTGATTCAAAACCAGCTCCGGATCCAAAAACCAATAAAAAGCTCCCGAAATTTTTCGTCGAAAATGCCAAATTTCAAGATGTTGTGGTGAAAGAGGTGGGAGGTTATCTCAAGAAATTTTACAAGAAACATCAGATTTCTAAGGAAGACTATAAAGAAATTTTCAAGAAGGTTATGAAGAAAATCTGCAAGAGTTCGCCTGAGCCAAAGAGGCTTGTATGCGTTCGGTCCATACGAAGGTTATGCGATTTTTACGTACAAAAGGCTCGTCTCCAAATTAAAAAAGACTGCATGTTCTCCGATGACATGGACTGAATGGCTCGGTTAGCCATAAACATTTTGTATGATGGTTGTCGTGTGTTACAGAAGTACGTTCCACTTATTTTTCCCTTCTCAGCATCCGTGCATACATCGGTTAAGGTCGAACTTAATGACCGGAAAGAGCCGGCAAAATTATCTATGGCATTTCAATGATGTTGAGAAGAACGTGCATTAGTGAAAACAGGCAAATTGGCCCACTTAAGATAGATTGGGTGAGCGAGCAAAGGGGGCGAAGAGTTCATCTCTACTGCGTAGACGGTACAACGGCTTGTTTGTTTGTGCTCGAGGCTAAAGACTCTTTTCTCGAAATTACAAAAGGCTGATTCACACATAGCCCACAATTCGAGATTAAAATATGAGATAAAAATTTTGGCCGGTTTTAGAATGTCTCGTTTTAACAGCATAAAGAGTGCTTTTACTAGATTCCACATGTTAGTATGCAAAGTGCTACCTACAGTGACACGTCGCTGTCCGCACAATAAAAGCCGTTAATCTTCTACCTAGTTAAATCGACGTTTATAGTGACATATCTATATGGTTTGAAAGTGGGCATTTTTTGTAACCATGTACAAATGTATATTTTATTAAATACGAGAAATTTACACCACCACTATATGCATGAGACGGTTTTGCATACCTATGTAATATGCGTGATCAAATAAAAACAAGTGAAGATTTCGGTAATAATAAGCTGGAATGTGATAGAAGTCATATATCTGCCTTCTGAGTAACTCTTTTAGGTAAAGGATTATCCGTTTCTGTTCGTACCCGTTTTGTATTCTGAATTTAGGTACAGGTAAATATTATGCAGCTTAATTCATAGTACAAATAAAAGATGATTATAAAGTAACACATAATATTTTTAGTTTTTTTTTAAGCACTCAAGCATTTTTCAAGTATAATAGGCATTAGAGAAAGTGGTGCTTTGAAAACCAGTTTCGAACACATTGCGTGTAAGGAGTACAACGGTGTTTACTTATGTCAAACGTATTTTGTGTGAAAAGTGCTAATAATTTTACAAATTGGAGTTTCCACTTGTGATCGATCCTGGGAGTTCTTGCTATCTATAAGACAATACCGTCGTGATAGCGTGTCATATGCCTAACTCGAGCTATTTCAACTAAGTATATTAGAAAACCATTTTCCTAGCGAGTCAGTTAAACGTTGTACAGGTTCACACATCTTATTATCGCAGAAATTACTCTGCTTTACGACTGATTACTTCAGAATGCATGGTCACCCTACACATTTTAGCTCCACAAAATTTCACTAAGCGTTTGTTTTTAATGACATGTTCACAAAACGCAAAATCTCGTACTCCAAAAAATATCGTATTTTTGGGCAGCTTGAGTAACCATTTCATCCATGCCCACAAAGTCATAGCCTTGAAGAGATCTAAACTACTTCGTTGCTAAGCAAGTACTACCACCAAACCAGTTTAGCCAGCATTAGCTTGCCTGAATGTAAAGTGGCATTGGAGTAGAGTTTATCGAATGGGAATAACAAAAGCTAGGTAATGCTTTTACATTTCAAAAAGATTTTACCTTTCCTCGGCAATGTTGTGGACCTTGCTGAAATTCACTTTACACACCGTGCTTCTGATTGGTTTTCGTTGGTCCAGATGTGACCGCGTGATTTATGGAGGTGGCTGTAATTAGGGAGACATACATATATATATGCGATATTGAACTGCTTGCACATCTGCTACGAACGGTAGGCGCTGGTAGATGTGTTGCGCGACTATACACCATTACCGGCAAAGTATTACGGAATAGACGGAGTCAAGCGTTTGGGGCCCCGCAGTTAGAAAACGTGTGGCGTTCTTTGAAATAATTTTTTTTTTATTATTTTTAGACATATCTAGAAAAAAAGCATTACTAAGTATTTGGATATTGCTTGAATAAAAATAACGCCCTGTTGTCGAATCGATAAGCACAATACAACGTGGTTTTAGATTATGAACGGCTTTAGGGTCAGACAGTATAATGTTTATCCACGACGGGTTTTAAAGCACAATTACGTTGGTGGATTATTCATTATTTCATAGATAAACGTATGTAACATCCTAAGCGATTTACGGTATGAATAAGCTAAAAAGCAGCAAGAATCGAAGCACGTTTGTCAATTATTACGGTCCGCTCTGTGCTAATAGCTAGTCACTATCGAGTTGTTAGTCTTGGCCTTCATCCTTTACACGATATAATATTGCATGATACATAACCATACCATAGATTACATCATTGCCGTTCACATAAATGTACGTCTTTGACAGCTCATATACTGATTTACTGAAGCTTTAGATTATTTGCATTAACTTCACTTAATCCCTGGCACGGTGACCAGCACCAGCCCTGCGCGTTCATTCATCTAACGAACGTTTTCTTGTGAAAGCTTATATGTACATCCAACGACTTCCAGCTGCTGGCGCCGCCTTGACCCACTAAACCTCTATCGGTCAAGGTCTTGCTTCTCCGCTTAACGCTGTTTATATAAAGTCGAGGTAGCCACTCACTTTATCCGCTGATATATATAAACTTTTCCATAATTTGCCCCGTTATACAACGTAGTGCAGCAACTGTTGTGGCTTCGCTCATACTCGTGAGTGGATGAGCGGCAAAGAAATACTCGTCCTTAACCTAGCTGAGACGTTGGTCAATCCCATGCTGTTTAAGACGAACGTATGTTCGGCTAAGAGTGCTCCCCAGTTGCACGTCTTTCGGAGAGTATTTTAGGTTATACATAGAGTGAACTGAGTTGAATTTTGCTGGATTACGCTTGACTGCTCCGCCGGCGGTAACATTCAATCAGGGCATACTTCAGAGTACAGCGTGCGGCAATGGCCCACGGCTGATGAACTGTTAACGAAGACTAACATCTATAAAAGGACACCAGGTCGTAGTTGGCTTCCTTGATAGCCTGCACTCGTTAAAGCCGTTGGTATGGATAGACATTCAGAAACAATAACACAGCCACCATGAGAGGGGTTATAGAGGTGTATACTTAAGTCGTCCCCGATAGTTCGATTCTTCGGAGCACTACCAACGGCAAGAACAGGCGGTGAGAGTGTTTCCTATTTTTGATTATAGTCATCGACCAGTCGTCGACGGATGCTCAATTGTGCGCGAGATCTGTCAATCTATTTCTAGAAATAACGGGTTCACAGGAACAGGCCACAGTTGTGGTGTCTAATGAGCGCGAAGTAAAGCGACTGCCTTGCACGCGAACGTGGCGAGTGAACGTAAGGGGATGAGGGACACCGATAGTCCTAGTGGAGGGTGTCAGTGTACAACAGCGCCTCCCAATCTTCCCGCTCGCTGATGGTCTGTCTGTAGACCTGTGGGTATTGCTATGATTTTGGCTGGCATCCATTTAGTTCGACAATAGGAAACGGATAGATGACACTGTCCGGGGGGCGGCAGCCGGCCGAAATCTCGTGTTTTGCAAAGCGATCGTGAATGATTAAACCGTTGTAGAACACAATAAACGCTCTACACTAGATATATCTGTCAACTTATTTCTATTTACATTTCGTGTGTATGTGCGTTAGTGTGTATGAGGTATGTACTGTCTGTTTGTTGAGAGCTGACGGGAAGGACAATTACAACGAGTAATACGAGGGTGCAGACTCAGTCCAAAAACTAGAAGAAATTATGCTGAAAATAGAATAGAAATTTAAGCCTAACACAATTGACAAAAATAAGTACAAATGAAAATAAATGAAGTGATGGTTTTGTATGGTAAGGGGTGCCTGTGCGACGATACAAAACACATCTTCATAAATTAAACGATAGCACATGGTTGTAGACCGTCGTGGATACCGTACTTAAAAGGAGTTTGTCCAGTGTTATGTTTAGCTTGAAAGCTAAGTTAAGGCAAAATTCGCAGAAACGGCTTGTCTAATGATGTGTAAAAGTGAGGTCATGAGCATTTTGAGTAGACTGTAGAAGAAACTGCATAAAGGAAATTCTATTTATCGTAAATTAAATTATAGCTATATAAAATTAAATATGTAGAACACTGCAAATATACTTGTTTCAAAAGAGCGTTATTAGCTAGAACTACAGCATGCTTGTTCGTCGATGCAAATAACTATTCAAATGAAGGTACAAACACTTGTCAAACTAATGTAGTATTTTGACTACTTAAACGGTATAGTTTTTATACACTGATATTCATTCAATAAATTGAAAAACGCTCAAGGGCTATCTCAAGCATTCCGCAGCATGCGTTTTCTTTGCCTTTTTTATAGAAGTCCTTTTTCGAATCTTTCTTCATATAATGTCCTGAAGGTCATGACAAAACATATGCTTAGACAACGGTGGACTTTCTGAACCAGTCACTTACCACTGCCTAAAAAGGTTTGCTGAACTAGAGGACGAGCCGCATGCTAGGTCAATCAAAGGTAGCTGAACTGAGTCTTCTAATCTGTTCACAAAACACTAAGCATTGGCCAAATATTCGTAGTTGAACCAATGATATCGATTGGCACATAGTCTTCCATCTTAGGTTTTTGAGGGGGAACTTTTTTTGGAGGAGTTTGGGAGGGGGGAGATGGTCAGGGCACGATTGTGCAGCTATGCCAAAAAACAAGTGTCTTCGCGCGGGCCTGGATTAAAAATTTGCTCGTCAAACGCATCTATAACCAGCAAAGGAGTTACTGCCAAAAGCAAGATCGTTCAGCTCAAGAAAAATGAAACAAGACTAAAACTATTATAAGACCCTCTATCGATGAAGAGGGATAACATTGTAGAAAATCGGCGAAGTCCCTATTATGCAAGGAAAAATGGTTTTTCAGATTCCAAATAAATACAGCTTATAATACAACGTTGGGAATAGACTATTTTATTTGGCAGAACAACGATACATCTTAGAGATTACAAACCACGCATCTTTCTTTCCCTCTCAATTGGATTATTCGGGACTTTTTTCGCGGACAAGAGGAAATATATATAAATATATATATCAATGTTGTGCAGGTTTGTTTAACTATGGAAGCGAGTATCACTAATACGCTGAGTCGATATTTGTTTAAAGGATCCCGCGGAAGTTATCATGAAACTTGCCCCAACCTATGGCGCCCCAGGAGATTTCGCCACGGTCATTGCCCAAGGTCAGAAGGTATATGCTGTATGTATAAGCTAATAATGAACGCTGCGGCGGTAACTTCGACAATTTGTTGCGACTCAGCCTGAAACCCGTTAAGCGCACGAGCTATTGGTTCGTAAATTGTTTCGCATCCTCCGATAGAACGCCTTCGACGACCGGTTCGATGTAGGTTATGCACTTTGCCCCGTGCCCTCTAAATCAACGGAGAGTTAGAAAAAGAAAATTAGCTAGTGAGTTTTATATAAGTCAAGTAAAGAAGCTTGGTAACATACAGAAACGATGTGATGGTTCAAATAGATATGGGAAATTAAGCAGAATGGGTACAAATTCCCTTTATCATAAGTGGGGTCACACTTGCACTCCTCAGGGACGGCTTGGGATTTTTTCTAACGTATTGACTGATTAACGAATTGGCCACAATTTCAGCTTGTATCCGTATTGGAGAATATTTATTACTAATTGAACATAAGCAGTTAACATCAAGGCTGATAAAAAAAGATAGCTTTAAGCATATGCTATATCACTTCCAAATTAAAACTGCTTAAAACATATAATAACAAATTATATTATTTTTCATTATACGTTTTCCCTGTTTACTGAAAAATATGTTTAAACTAATTTCGCTTTTCACCGGACAATAAGAAAAAAACACATTATTCTATCTACACGTCGATATAAATGGATATATAGCAGTGCAAAATGGTTAATTAAAATCACTGTCCACATTACTATTCGGTACATTCGACAATAGAAACCTCCAATGTTGTATATAATACATTTTTGCTTATTTCATTGTTAAGAACGAGCCTCAAATCTCTATCGAGCCGCGCTATTATTTAAATTTTTAATCCAATGCAGACGAATTACATAGTGCAGCTATTTTACGTTTTACGTTTTACGTCATCTAAATTTCGCAGTGAAATTGACTTCAATTTTATTGCCTGCAGAGTATACTGCCCATGAGTTTGGTCTGAATAGGCCTCTTATAGCTTTGACAGTTGGTGGACTAGTTTCTTTAATAGAAATTGTTTTCTATTTAACACGTATAACTTCTGTTCAGATTGTTCCGATCAAATCGGTTCTCCTTTTTCGATAGATTTTTTTTTTAGCCCTAATTATTTGACGTGATTTTCCGTTGGCTTAAACGCTACGCGCGGATTGACTCATCAAGTAGCTCATCCAGTTGACACCAACCGCCGGTTGTAGTTTCGCCATAATGAACAATAGAGCAGTAAGATGTAAGCGCAAAAAAGTGGGGCGCCGACGCTACGCTGCTTAATGTCGATCAATGAGGGCGCCGAAGAGGGAGAACACAAAAGGCTTTGACTTACTTGTTGTTTTGCGCCGTTCCAGCACAAATGAATAATGTACAGGTTGGCGAATTTGAAGCTGAAGGAACACGTTATGTCACCAGCACAGAGTACGCAACAGTGTGCGTGCCTGAAGATCTCCATCTGCATCTTCTAGCCTGCCCAAAATGCTTCTCTAGTAAAACCCCTTACCAAAACCTTAGTGTCTGTTTACTAGTTGCTAAATATTGCCAAACAATGCAACCAGAGGGGCCGTATAAAAAATCAACGAAGTAGGAACCTTGGCCAAGCACACAGCGTCCTCAAGGGTTCTCAGCTGTATGACGATCGACTGTAGTCGTCAGCTGAACGCTTTGCAGAAGAGAACGAAATCTGGGTAAACATTTTGTATAGAAGTTGGCTGGACCATCGGAAAATGAAAATTCATTCACGATTTTCTCTTGCGCATTGGAATAATAGCTTTAATCGTACAGCGACTGGAAGCGCTGAAAAGCCTTTGTTGGTGTTGCCTGTCGGTCGATTCCAGAGGATTTCTCGAAATTTCATATTTGTTTTTATGCATTTTGCAGGCGTCCGTCTGTTCAGTTCGTGAACAATACATATTTACTGCACAACGTGGGTCGCTGAAGGCAAATACTTTTAGGATGCACTTTACGGAGTTGCTAGAAAAAGAAAATAATATTGATACTACTGTTTACTGTTACGCATGGCCTAATAACCTACATAATTGAAAACAACAAGAGGAAAGAAACAAACTTACCATGTTTTTATTACAGTCTCCAAAAATAGGTATGTACAAGATGAGGCAGATGCGAAAAATCTATCCGGATTGGCTAAGCTAAAACAAGCCGAAATGAGTCGTATGTGTACGTAGGCATGTGATTCGCTCAACGATCGTACACAGCGGTAAAATCGAGTGCCAGCGAGTAGTAATCGATAACGATTTCAACATCTTAAAGCTACCTCACTCTATATATCATGCATATTAATATTTCGATTTCTTTTTTTATAACAATAGTTCGACCGACAGCATTACATCTAGGAAAGGCCAAACGACGGCGAAGTTCATCAGGGCGCGGCTTCAGTCCAGAAAATTACCGCTGACATTCGACAATCGGCCTCACGGATCATTTTATTGGCTCAAAAAATTGTTACGTTCTTTCTCCCAACCACGCTCAGCGGGAGAATCGCATTTAATTGTGCTGTATAAAATTAGCTGTTGTACTATCCCTAGATCCTTGACGATATCTGCAGCTTTCAACTGTATGCCCGTATCATCTTTGCCAATGATAATGGGAGGATGTCGAATCTCAGTTTCGCGTTCTGATTTCCGAAGAACGGTCTCACACGCATCCATGGCCCACTGAACTCGGGCGGCATCCACGGCCTCGGCAGCCAATCGACCATATGTTTCATCCGCCGGTGATCCTGAAGCCAGTGCGGTGTTAGACAGACAAACAATTTGACTAAGACTAAGCTGGTTTGCGTTTAACTCATTCAGTTCAAGTGTGCTATATAGATAGAACCGATTTCATCAGGAAAAGGACAACAGGAATGGAACTGGCTACGATAGAGTTCTATGATAGACCCGCCGCTATAACTTAGCCTATAAGCTATAGCGGTGGGTGTCCAATAGTTTAGATAGTTTTAGTCCAATATAGTAGAGTATATTATAACATGCTTTTTCTGGATCGCACAGATTTTTCTAAACGGATTATTAAAGGTAAGTAGGCATCATGATTAGAGGGAATAGTTATGTTCAAATACCCATCCGGGCTCAATATCAATGGGCCATCGCCTAGCGGCAAATGCGCCAGTCTGTTGTCAATAATTTATTAACGAATCATTCATCATAGAACTTTTGTATAGCAAATATCTAGTATATGAACAATTTGCGTTTCGCGCGTAAAACAGGCTAATAAGATGTCAAAGTTAGACTTTCACCACCTCATATACGTGTTTTATTTCTCGCGATCTCTCGAAAAATACACGCAGAAACGTACGAGCGCCTAACGTAATCGGTAACACATACCCATTTCAAGTATCTTTTGGACTCGAAGATCTATGGCATGAAGCATATCGCGGAGCCTAAATAGGACATTAGAAATTCTTGCCAAGTTTGCGAAATGTTTCGAAGATCCTATTGTATCGACCGGGGTGAAGGGGGGCAACCAACCATCGCTTAACGTCCGAAAGGCCGCTTGTTTGTAGGAGTGCGAAGCCCACACTCGACGTCCGTTCACACAAGCCTGGCATAGGTATCGTGATGGAAGGGTAGTAGGGTCGGTGACACCTGCATTAATAAACATAAGGTTCTACTATTCTCAAGAATTAACAATATAGACTGGGAAGATTCGGACATACAGTAACATGATATTGAAACGATTCATTGGCATAGAATTCAGTAAGCTTTTAGTGTTATTCGTCATTGGTCGTTACTCACCAAAGCATTTCCCATGCTGCCATGCCGAACACGAGTCACACTGCATGATCATACCGTCTCGTGACGTTGTCCCGCAAACACAGTGGACTATGTCGAGTTCTACGGCATTCGAATCGTTGGGTTGGACTTTTTGTTGAGCCATTTGTGTGTCTACTTTCAAGTCAACTTTTTTACTCTTTTTTTGTTTCGCCACAACCGATCTGAGCTGTTTTGATTCTTTTCGGTGTTGTTCAACTTCGGTACAAAGGCCATTTTCTTGTCCGGTCGAGATCTTCCGTTTGTTTCGAATGGTTTCTTCTTTTTCATTGGATATCCTACGAGCTTTCGACGATATGTACGGTTTTGACGAAAGCCAAGTTACATCTGATAATGTAGGCTTGGGATCTTTAGTTGAAGCCTTATTGCCGATATTACGTGCCCACTTATCCCGCTTGGCCACTCTAGACATAGAAAGGACAGACACAAGGAGCCTAGTACGCAAAGTCCGCCTAGATAATTAAAAAAAAAAAACAAATAGGCATTTTCGCAAATGCATTCAGTTGTTTTACTATGGGCTTTACAAGAAGCCCGTATACGTAGTTTTGTGCTTACCCCCGCGTTCTATGCAATTCGCAAGTAGGCTCAGAGCTGTCCATCTTTACGTGGGCTTCTAGATCTTCGTGAGCCGAAACTAATGTGTCGTTCATGGTGGATACATTTGGTGGCTTGACTAAGGCGAGTCGCAATTTTCGGACTGTTTCGGAAACCTAATAGGACATTAAGGCAGATTAGACTTAAATGCGCGACCTATGACACCGTGGCCCAACGCGTATACACAGTGATGGGAAAAGTCAGTAGAATATGTGTATATTTGGAGAAAATAAAGCATACATTTGAAAAAAACATGTTTACGTTTGGATAGGCAATATACCGAACAAAACCTCGAGCAAAGGCCGTACGCGCACTAACGAGTCCATTAAGTCTAATTAATTTCTTTTTAGCTTTTCCAATTCAAACTACACAGGAGACGGATTTCTTGACCGATTTAGCTTAGTTACCTACACACGAGCAACCCACCCCTAAGCAAGATTTATCTTTGGCAATGCTAGATTTTGAGCTAGGTCCACCAATGAGGCAAACGACCGCGCTCCTTCATTTCCGAAAATAACAACCTATGCAGGTAGGAAATTGCTCTCGTGTAACTATTTAAATCCGTTCCTTCCGTTTTCAGAATATGTTTGAAATTCGAAATGGCATCGTAGTAAAGCAGTCAAACAAAATAATAGATCACATGGAGGGAGGAGACATCGCATGTTTATTAAAGCCACCAACTTAATTTTGTGTTCGGACACAATCTACAATTATTTATATATAATTAAATATAATAACAATCTATAATTATATTATAGCTGAACATATGCTCAGTCATTGACTGACATTACGCACAAAAACTAGCCTTGTTGTGGTACATGTATAGCATTATTATTAGTTTCACAAAAAAGAGTCCACAAAGATTTAACTTTGTTGTCTTCTCCAGTTTCTTATCATGCGCTACTTCCAAAAGCTAATGTGATTAAATTAGTAGTGTGAAGTTTTTAAATACGATGCAACTTAATCGTGAGTCGGCTATAATGGAAAAGTGCAAGCTTGTTGTAGGTCACATCACGGCTGCGGCAAGTGTTACCGTCATCTAAATCCACTTATATTAAGTGTGGGAATTGTGGGATGATGGCGAAATGTATTAACTGTGAAAAGTTCGGAACTGAGCTAAAAGCTACCCCGGGTTTTACTCTTAGTCATTGCCCACAAGCAATACACCAAACTGTCGTGCTTTGGCTAAAAGCCAGGATGATTCCTTAAAGTAATCAGCAGTAGACTGTGCTGCCTTAGACCTACATGAACTGTTGCATTTTTTCTTTACGATTATCTATAGACAACAAACAACTGAACAAGAACAGTGCATAAAAAAATCCTATGACGTCCTTGTTACACAGGATGGACGCGTAAATGTGAGCGTATTGCAGAAGTTAATAATTGGATAATCATCTCTTTCTTGCTTTTACGCCAGCTTCGTTGTAGAAAAAGACCTGATAAGAGGTTCTGTACGTGTATTGAATCGCGCCGCTGTAGCCAAAGTGGAAACACTACCGTTACGACTTTGATATGAATGTAATAAGGGGCTGATTTATAAAGGCGAATAATTTCCGTCTTGTTTGCCTTTAATTTTTACTACATACCGAAGGATCTGGAGCGTCACGTGAATGGCGTTTGCCAACATTAGCGCTCGGGGGGGCAGCCTTATCAAGAGTGCATGAACCGCGAAGCGACTTCTTTCGGGGCCGGCCTCTGTGTCGTTTACTTTGTTCGCCTGTAACGCGAACAGTGTGAAGTTCACCTCTGCGAGCCATCTTCTCAAGTTTACGCAAGTATACTTAGCTGCAACAGGTGCAACTTCCATTATTTTTCGAACTACTGTTTTAAATACAGCGCGCATTGTCAAGAAGTTTTCTTATCATCAAAAAAGTAATTGATTCCATATAGACATGATATTTTTTTACCGATAAGTGATAATGAACACTGAGGAACGGCCGAGAAAATTATTGTACGTCCAATGTAAGCGAATGTCTTTGTAGTCAAATTCCTATAAGTAATAGTAAAAGTCTAACAATAGTAGCAAAAATTACCTATGTAACAGTCTAACGCTTGCATCGGAGGCAATATCCGGAAAAACTTGTTACAGCAGAATGAAACATTTCTCGACATCCAGAAGGCGTTCACTTCTAGCTTCGTTCATTTCAAGGTTGTGGGACGAATAAATTTGGGGTAGTCGTTAAATTCTTTCTAGCATTAAAACAGCTAGGGCTCTCACTCATGTAGTTTCTCGATTCTTTCAAGAGATTTAACAAAACCGGCTCAAAGTATCATCAACTGCAAATCCTACAATCTTCTAATATTCAAAAAGCCAACAGGGCCTTTAAGGGATGATTGAGTTGGGTTAAAAAAAGCACTTTATCAGCAAAGCACTTTTTTTACCGCAAAACCCAGATAGATTTCACTTGAGAAAAATGCAGTAATACGACAAGCACTGTCCTGATTGGGGATTTGTGGGGACTGCGTTGCATATAGAAAAGAATCTTATACAGACTTGAAGTGAAATGAAAATGATTGTGCATTCACCATTGTTGGCCTTTAATTCTAAAAATGGAACTATTTAAGAAGTTTCCATTATAGCCGACGATGACTCTAAGAGGAGCATTCGCATGATGATAAGCCTTTATGCTTTCGATCGGTATAACCCAATGGCCGGTTGGGATAATGAAATTTAAGCTGGCAGTTTCTTGTTGCAACATCCTTTGAATTATTCCGCCTGGTGTTGTCAGAAAGGAAAAGGGCAGGTAACCGTTACATAAAATGTCGTGCTTACTTGATCCACCTACCACAATGAGTATGAGATGAAGAGTCTTTTCGACGCGTATATGGCCTCATTTTCATAGACTTGCGATGCTTTCTACACAATCATCAATTTTTCTAATTTATAAAACGAGCGATAAAATAACACTTTAAAATTCCATGGTCCCAATGGAAAAATCTTTGCCAAGCTCTATCGCACCTTTCACAATTTGTTCGCAGTTCAGGATCTTGCTATATGTGTCGTTCACACAATGGGATACCTCATTTAAGGCGAAGCCAAGGGGTTCAACCTATTTTGCAACCTTGCAGTCATTTTTTGGTCGAGGCTGCATGGACTTCGCGGTTAATAAAGCGCTTACAAGTTACGCCTTATCGAATTGAGTTCAAATCGTTTTCGAGGCTCGATGAGTGCGTCAACAAGAAAAAGTTGTCTTTGACTCGAACGTCTTACACTCAGTGGTACTCATTTCCGTAAAGTGGTAAAATAACAAACAAGACCGATATATGCTAGGCCAGTTATCTCTGAGGTGAGCAAGCATGGCGTGTTCCGCTAAGTTGTTGCAGACCCACATAGACTATGTGATCTGCTTAAGCTGAAAGCTTGAGATCAACATAGGTCTAAGGAATTTGTTCGATATAGGAGCTTGCTATGGTGAATCGTCTGTCAGGGAATACTAGTGTCAGTTAAATATATTCTCTTTGTTTCTTTGTGCTTGCTCCAAGTTAACTACATAAATGAAGCGGCAGCTAATATGCACCGTACTTGCACAGGAGACCTGCACAATTTCGCTTTCTAAGGTTGTATAAAGCACGAGATGATGATGAACAGACTGGCCATTAAGTATTTTAGAAAATAATATATAAAAAATAGTGAACAAAAAGGCCTGAGTAGACATAAGTACACAAACGGACACAAAAAAAAAGTATTCATGGCGTTCTCATAGAAAACCTATATTATATCCACTTCTAATACTGAGCGCGTCATTCGTGATTACAGTTTTAGATTTCGCCGTTTCGCTACGAGTAAGCATTGTAACAACCGAAACCTTAGATTACATGTAAGGGTTTACATATGCACCGAAAGCAGGGAAGTGGCAATGACGCACCGAGATACAACTGCTGTTGGATTAAATGGCGACTATGAAAACATAAATAACAGGCGAAGTGTAATGTTGTAGCTATTAGATAAAAGAAAGTGAAGTGGACGCCCAACTTGTCGAACGATTCATTTGTAGTCATATGTGAAACTGAAAACATCAAAAGATGTTGAATATCAGTTGTTCCAATCAACTCGAAGTCATATAACGATTTTGAGTTGATAGCCTAAGTAAACATATATAATATGTTTATTTAGGGTAAATGTTACATCGAAGTCCTGTCGCTACCAAAGGTTTTGTCGATAATAATGATATAGATATATAGTTTAATCAATAATAATAATCTAGATTATATCACCATTGTATCTCGACTGGCATCTGTTTTAAGGGGCCCGGGGCAACGTACTCACATTTGGAACCTATTGGCACCTTCAGATCGGGTTGCAAGTTTGTTTAGGTTCGAGGTCACAAGGCTGAAGGAATTAGGCAGCATTTTGATCCAGTCATTCGCACAGATTACTTTTTAACTAACTCCAGAAGCGATTCCGCGTGGCTGACCAGGAAACAGCGCAAAAAGGTTATCTCGTTAAGGTGCGCTAATGCGCGCGCGATAATTTGAAATCACAGATCAGTACAGTGGAACCACTATTAGGGAAAGAGCCGTGAGGTCTCGGCTGTTATTCGCGGACAGTGGACTAAGATTCTACGAGTGGTTGATATTTCCTAGAAAGGTAATAATAAGTCACTGCTCAATGTTACGCTGAATGGGAGCCTTCGAAAACTAGGTCAGCTAAGGATGTACGAATTTACCCACGGTGTATTTGCCATAAGCGTCTGTTTTCTAGCAACTGAATCAATAATTTCTTATCCAGTCGTCGATTCATTGCGAGTGTAACAAAGAACAGGTTGGAACGTCCCACAGGACTTTCTTTTATGACCAGTGTCGCGTTTCCATGATCAATGAAATCGTTTTCTACCTTCCTCTCAATCGGCAGGTCTGTTTCATGGAGTCAAGCCATAAATATTATACCAATGCTTGTAAATAATGGTGCATAGTTTAAGATTTGCTTATTGAATTAGATTTTTATCTTGCGCAATAGTCTGTGATAACATGCGCTTCCATAAATCTGACCGCTATCTCTTCTTTTGAGATTTTGCCAACTATCACTGCGTTGATCAAGCTTTGCCCTAAATATTATTATACATATGTGCGTTTTAATGCACGATAAATGATGAATTCGAAATTAACAACTAGACAATACGAAATTTCGATGAGTATTCGACGTCTTACCTGGTTAAAATCATCATCAAAGAAAGAATAAGAACTGGGTTTTCTGCAACTTTCGAAATCTGTTTGTCTGTTAAATGGTGCATACCCTATATGCGCGGGAAATTTACCTGGCTGGCTTTGCTACAGTACCATAATCCGATCTACGAGCTGACCTCCGCAGAGTTGCCCTGATACGGGCATCAAGGTAATTCTTTCCAAAAGACGTTTTCTGATTTATGATTTATCCATCATCGCAGTGATAATATTATTTTCTGCTTAACCACTGTCGTTACGTAAAACACTGGACTGCGTTGTATTGACTGCGAATGCCCATGAATTCGTATAACGGATTAGATTAATTGTTCGTTGATTAGGAATGAGCGCTGATGACTAACAAGCCTAGACCGCTACACACCGGACTGTTTCAATATCGTCCGAGGCGCATGGCAAAAATCCTAGCACAAGTGGACAACTACTTTCTTTGGGTTCACTGGCGTGAATTCTATACCATAATAGTTCTACCGTTGGTATTATTTAAACCACCTCTCTACGTTTCGAGTTTTACGTCCAGTACCGCCTTCCACCGGGCTGTTAGCTCCCAGCACGAATCGTGTGTTTACGCCAGAATTCGAACCTAGACCACAACGTGTCCTTAAGACCAGCAAGCATATAGGTTTCCCACTAACCTATCACGGGAATCTCCAGATGCATCAGTATGATACGATGCAATGATTGAGAGGAAATAATTGTTTCGTGGTGAGGAGAAAAAAGAAAACAGGCTCAGCCAGGATTAAAATTTTACTGGTGAAGTTATTCTTGGTTCGTTCCATAAAACAGTATCAATGATGGTTACAAAAATCGTAGCAGTCGTAGTGCCCTGGGTACAGTGCTTCGGGCATTGCACTGCCTCAGGGTGTCTGGTGCTTCTCCGAACACTTCCCCTTATTCGTGTTCGTCAGCAATAGACTGATGGTCAGACTACCATGGGCAATTCCCCCCACCCAGAAATCTCCGGCTATGATCGGCGGAACACGTTCGTGCGAGCTTTGCATTGACCGTGTTTTGTTCGCTGTTTCTTTCTTAATAGGCTGAGCCACTTGCCACGCTCGTCGGCCCTGACACGGCACTACGGGCTTCCTCTTTGCAGAAACTGGTACGTGGCAGCCAGGCAACAGAACAAGGATAGCTATATCGGACGTCGGGTAGGCTGTCCCTCTTTAACGCGCCGATACCCTTTCCTAAACAAGTGCTGAGCTCTTTTTGGCCGTAGAACCCCACGAATGGAGAGGGTTTTTGCGGGAACCCTCTCCTTGGGATTAGTCGGGGTATAAAATCGAAACACGTGCGTTTGCTTGCGTACTGTTTACGCTGGACCTCAAACAGCGCATGGGTCTATACGTGCGTCCGACAAGCAAGGCATTGGACGTGTATGATTGGACGTGACTGATATCTGCACACACGGATAGATTATACGAATAATTGTAAAGGCGTACGTGAAAATATGACGCCAAAAGCGAAAACCAATAAAGTGAGGATTTCGGTACTCGGTGGCAAAGGAGTTGGCAAAACAGGTGTGGAAAATTATCGATTCTACGTGAGCCAGTACATTGTTGAGTGATAGAACCTGATAACCAAATAGTAAATTGTTTCTATGACTGATACGCAGAAGTTCGTGTCACAATGTACAACGCGATTCTTAATTATCGCGTTTGCGTGTATAAAGGGTTTTCATTTTTTTCTTTAATCCTTTACATTTAGTATAACCTACATGAGTTTTTATGCCTAAGGTTATTTCAATACAACGTCTGTTCGTTGATAGGTTTATCGTACTCATGGGTGACAGTTGTAGCTTGACAATGCATTTGAAATCTCTTTTAGTTACGCACGTGTGTAGAAATACATTTCTTAAATCCATGAATTATTTATGTTAAGAATGCTAGTACACACACACTGTAGTAGGTACACAAATAGGGGGTTAAATTCATTTTACTGTGATAGTCCTGCAAAGGATAGTTTTTATTAAGCATATGAAATCCTCTAATTATTCTATCGTTTTATTTAAATGGTTGCTTCACTAAGAAAAAATCATTACTTAATGAAGTGCCAGTTATGTCACTGTATAGTGTTTGTGACGGTCAAGTAAATGGTTACAGGAAATAATCCAGACAGCTTGTTGCCTCTTCTTTAGTACTGTCTGTGCAAGAGTAAAAAATAATTTTTTTTACAGTAAACAGTGGAATATAGATAATAGTCAGCAAATGGTAGAAACTGCGCACTCCTAACTTAGCCTTTTTTAATCATTCTCTTGTATAGATTTGCTAAGCATAAGAACCTTTAGTGGAATGATTTAGTCGTGAATTGAACGCAGGCCTAATTCGTTTCGTGCTGGACAGGGCCGCCAGCTTTTTACATTTATTTGAATGTTTTGGAAAACTGCCACTGTTTCCTTCGATATTTGTTGCTGTTGTACAATTTATCTGCGTCACGCGGATTTGCAATTGATTCGGGGAAATTAGAACTGAAAGCTTCCGGTTAGTCTGCGCCACATCTTAAATGTTTAACAATAAATGACATTCTTTGGAATGCTACCGACTGAAGGCGCCCGCATCTGATCGTAAGGCTTACCGAACCGGTTTCCGTTCTAGGAAGGCTTGCTGCAAACTGCAGGCTTTGCGAAGGAGAAACGTGAGGCCTTCAGCCCTTAAGAGATACTATGGCGCTGTTAGCACGATGCCAGTCGATGTTCAAAGCCTATAATCATTTATGCTTATCTAAGAAATCTATATGGCATTTGTGCCATGTACGTATATATATATATATATATTGAAACTGCAGATGCAATGGATTTCCCTATGTCACAAGTACAAATGTATTTATTTACGGGTGTAATACTGTTTCAATTGTAAGTTTAAAATTATTCTGAGGAAGAAACAAGGATAAGGCTTTGATCGCATCGTTTGTCCACATCTTGTTCATTGCGTAATTGCAGCTTGCATCACGCGGCTAATGTACGACAAATTCTTCCACGATCCGCACCATCACGCTAAGGAGGTCCATCACAGGACGTTAGGCATCGCCGATGAGTCGTTCGAATTGGAGATGCACGAGGAGCACAAAGTTAGCGTGAGTCTCTCTTTGACTGTATCAGCAATCGATCTGCTTCAAGCTTCGTCTTCCAGCTTAAAGACTCAAACTGGCCAAAAATCGCCCAGGGTTATAACGACAAATACTAACATGTAGTAGCAACTACTGTTGCTAGCCGTGTATTGGGACTGATCAAGGTTTCCGAACGAAAAATCAAGCAAAGCAAATTTCAGTTGCCCTGCTGTATCCTGTTTGTCTTACGGGTGAACGTCTATCAGGTCATACGATAGACGCACAACGAACAGCGTAAAGGTGAAAGATTTGTACGCAAATATGTTCCTTTTCTATGCCCCTTTCAAATGAGCGTTGTGTTATTGCGTTTTGTAAAACAAGGTGCTATTCTGTTCAGAAACATCCAATATCGTTTCTAGTTTTGTCCTTTGTCCGCTTTACTTATTCTGTACCTGGGAGGTTAGGTGGCGACAAACCCGGAAGTGAGTGTGTCGAATTTGCCTCGTACGTAGGCGCGCATATGTGTGCACCTACCTAAGCTGCTCGCAAGGCTAATTTCCACGTGGGTTTCTGACGGTCCACATAGGCGGTCAGTCACCTTTAATTAAATTAAGGAAAAATTTCGTTTCCATTCTATATACATGTATAAGCTTATGGTTCTGTTCCTCGCTGTCCAGTCTACCCAATCCTACTATAACCTTGAACCTTTTTTCAGCTAGTAAAAAACTAGTTTAATCGGTTTCATGTTGACACAAATTTATAAGGAGAGATCTTTTTCTAATGTAAAATACGCACATTACGTTATTCTGACCCTCGATAGTTGTCCAAGGCTCAGATGCCACGTAAAGGCATTCTTCTATTTTAGCATTTGATAGTATTCTAGGAGCTTCCTTAGCTAATGTTAGAAATGACTGATCGAAATACCGTCTGCTAATGACGGTCGAGGAACGTAAGCTAGAATAAGCGAATTAAAATGCTTCTATAGACTGGTAGGTACACGTTCATTCTTTGGTTCGCGTCACAAATACGCTACGAGTCTCTAGAGGGAATGTTAACCACAGACGAAATAAATGCGATCCAACAGGAACAACATTTTCTATTTAAATCGTCACCTCGTACCTCCATCGTGACAATTGACTGCCACTTGCATGCCAACACTGTATGCCGACCAAGGGCTAAATTGCCCCTATCGGTTGCCTTCACTCGGCTTTATCCAATTTTACGTTGGACTTGCACGTCTCAGCTTCAAATTTGTCTGAAGGTCGCTTAACCAGTTAGCTCGAACCGCGTCCCGACTCCCTGCGATGTTGCTCCCGGCGCCCGAATTCACTACTACCCAACAAAGCAGAGGAGCTTGGTGGAGCAGTGTTCTGACTCAGCAAACGGCTGCTTGCATAAAGACGATCTTGATAGCAAACGCCACCCGGTTTCAGAGGTGAAATCGTAATCGAACCATGGGTCGAATGTGTGACGCGCACACCATGATGGAGCCATAGACCCCCTGCTCTGCAACGCCTTTTTCCGTACAATTATTCCACTATGACTTGGGTGAAACGCCCTTCCACATTTAGGATGCACCATGGCGTCCTAGGAAGTTGTGACGGAAGGAGGAAGAGATGTGAAGAGCAAAGGCAAAGCCTAGCTGAAACACGAAAACGACCCTGATCCTTATGGGGTTTTCATAAAGTCAAAGACAATCGTCTCGACTCCCTAATAAGATGATAAACTGTAACGTAAATTGTTCAAAGGCTTCGAATGTCTGCTTATCGAAATTGGAGACAGAATTTCATGAGATAGAAATACTCATACGTGCTAATCAGATATGTCGAGGTAAAATGTCTCAGAAAAAGAGAACTCAAACAATAATTTACTGATTTTTTTTTCGAATTGGGTCTTTTTATAGGAGTGGACCTTTTAAAAATGTTAAGTTTATATTATGCGCTTTAGGAACGTCAATAATAACGATTCTCTATTACTCATTAATTCTATTTAAATTTCGCTTGACATAACGATCTCAATATATGAGATGTCATTAAATATCAGGATTTAGAACAGAAGCATCGGCTGAGTTTTCGCTCGACTGTTCACTTAAGGGCCTATCCTTTCGATAATGTAAAATTTTTTTCCAGAGTAATTTTTCTTTGAATTTCGCTAGCGTTTTTTTTTAAAACGAATTTTATATTCGTGGCAGCAGCGGCAGATAATTATTGCAGACCTTCACATAATAAAGTTTCCATAGTGGAGCTTCAGATTGTTCGTTGTAGCCAACCCGAATTGTGATACGCTCTGAGATACGATGTTTGCAGAAAAAGGCAGACTGCTGAACCGAAATTAAAAACTACATTAATAACACGATAATGTTCTGAGCGCAAAAATTTCGAATTCAGTGGAACAACTTTTGTTCCAGCCAAATAATAATTAATACGAGAGTAATCATTTTGCCAGCTAACTTTTGTACTCTGGTTACATCGTTCAGTTTGAACAGTGTAGCCACACGCACAGCATCGAAAATGCTGATGCTCTTCTGGTTATCTATTCGATCATTAGTCGGCGAAGTTTTGATCAAGCCGCCGAGCTGGTGACGTCCTTGGAGCAACGCTGTCCCGAAACGCCGCTCCTGCTTGTAGCTAACTGCTGCGATCTCAACTACAAACGCGAAGTTGAGACCGAGGAAGGTAAGCGTGCCAAAGCGCACGAGAACGATTGCGTACTTCGATGCCAAAATCCTTTTGTTGACACGTTACAGTGAGTTCTTGACTAACGTCATTTCGCAATCATAGTAATAACAATAACAGCTGTCGACAAAGTAGATCTTGTTTGGTTGGTTTATTTGGTACATTGATCTTTATTCCTTTTATTGGCTATGTATGATTTACGTACTGCTAGTGGCGACGACATGTACACTAAACGTTTTGCTATCTTGCATGTTCGCCTCTTCATCCACGCTGGCCACCAGGGCGTGAAGTGAGCTCAGACTTCGTCGAGGTGTCGGCCGCACAAGAAGGCTCCACTGATCTTCAGTCAGCTCTTGAGAGCTTGTTGAGACGAGTGGCCGCTGTTCGAGAGTTAGGCCAGCACAAACGAAGACGCAGCATTTCCAACGTGCTTGAAAGTATTTTTGCATGGAACAGCCGCGGTAGCTTTAGCATATCCGTCTAGCAGTTCGACAACTTCGTCTAGAGCCGATCTGCTCAGTTCTAGCCGAAGCATTGCCATGGCAAGCCTAATGCTAACTAATTTCGGGCTACACACGTAGCGTAAACAATCGAGAACCCTTAATGTGTCTGTGAGTGATAATCAGAGCGTGCGCTTTCATCCGCTATATTTGAAGGGGTTCACGCATTCAATCCAAGCATGCTGCATATATATACCTATATAAGCGATAATTACACGGCGCCGCCACAGCGGCGCGTCACGGATCTGACAAATAGCCAGCCTACCGTACAGCAGGGCATAGCTTCACGGTGTTAAACATCAGATAGGAAACGTGTCTGTAATCGAATCTGGGGGGTTTCCAAAGTACGCTGTCCGCTGTCCTAAATCAGGGAATAACCGTTGAGTTAGTGGAACCGTCTATATGAGCGCTTCTGTCATATGACCACACATACTGCCGAAAAACATCGTTCTAATAAGTAGAAGCTTTCCTCGACGATTGCGCAAAGCGTATCGAGACGCGGCGCTGTTAACAGCGATGCATAAAAAACAAGTCTTGGCCCATTCGTAAATGTGAAAGCGAATTTAGTACGTACGATCACCAAGGGGGCAACGTGACAATTTACAGCCATGGAAAAAGAGGGACATTATTATAATAACTGAGTAGAATCAAAGGTGACAGCAGCGTTCATATAACGTTGCGGTTAAAGAGTGTTACTACCAGCAGTGCTACATGAGAAGGTATATGAAGATGGATGGTACCGATGCTAGCAACAATAATTGCAAAAATTAAATATTATAATAACAAGAATATAAGAAAGCAGAAAATAAAAATAAACAATTATTACACATTGGAATATTACGATAATAAACAATCACACAAAGCATTTCTACACCATTAGAACGTTTGCGGTGTTTTTACTCAAAATAGCGATACTATAGAAATAGTTTCTCTAGAAAATAAAACACGTTTCAGTGGCTCAGGACATAGCGTGGTCTGTCCAATGAGCCGTTAAATTCGGCAAAAATCTCGACACTCAAGTGCTGTGATTGAGCTACGAGCTGTTCATGTCCATGATACGACCTTGTGGACGAGCAGCCCATCTATGATTCTATAGGACCAAGTTGAGCTGAGGGAGATATCGGTCAGCAGAATTTCACTGGTGTCGACAAAACAACGTTCATGTTCGAGAGATTAGACTTTTAAATAAATATCAGCGAGTTCGTTCCCCGGTGTTTTCTATAATAACTATGAAGCGGCACGATGTTTTCAAAAACGTTTAGTAAATACAACTATGAAAGCTGATAACTGGTTTTCGTCGTGAAGACAATAAAAAGTACAGTCGATGTATCATGATTTGTTCAAGGTACTTATGGATTTTTTATCGCACAAAAATGGCTCAGTGGAAAAACTTTTTCATACTACACTGATGATTTCGTTCTCAAGGAACCGTGTTACTAGAGTTTTTAACACCTGGAAGTCGTTTAAAACGTCTCGTATAAGGTCATTGATTAGGGTTTGTTCTCAGAAGATCGGTGAATCGTTAGGTGAAGATCCAGTTGTAGCTCACATTGAACATCGAATTTCGTATCGAACGGCCACTGTAATTCGCTAGGAGCTGTGTGATGAACGTGGAATTCTATTGTGCCCTGCCAAAAAACGAGTTTTTGAAGAATGTCTCTTTTTTTGAAGAAGAAGAAAACTTGGACTGCGAAAAGGAAAACATTTCAGATATACAGTCTGCAAGTTGGAAACAAGTGGTAGAAAAGTAACTTTGGTTGGTTAGTAGTAGTTTCTAAGTCGTCTAGGTCTAATGAAGCTGCATAAACTGAGGCACGAATTCGTGAACATTCAGTAAGTAAGTAAACTACTTGAAAGTAAACCAACATTTTACGAAAGGCCATCAATAGGTGCACGAAGAGTTCATGTATATAACACCTGATATAAACTTCGAATCTATGTGCCTCGCTTTTTAAGACAAGAAAACTCCACCAAATAAGATGTAATTTCGAAGACCTCATCCTTCCTAAATGCAGCATGTCTATTGCTGCTTTAATATAATCAGATCGAACTGAAACTGAATTGATTAGATATAACATGAACCCAACATTGTCTGTTTCTCCGAAAAGACAGGTATATCAGGCGTATCAAATATATATGGCTAAACAATTTTCGTGAGGCTTATTTGCTGCCTTCTTTTCGTGGCCCCATCAAAGTGACCGTATCGTCCATAATAATCACGGTTCACAGACAAGACGGTCTTTTTCCTGTTGTGGACGACATGTAGCAATTTGTAGGTTTAGTTAAACATTGTAATCCGAACAGCTTTTATTGGTTGTGTCGTCTCCTTTTATATATATCTTCCTTGAATTGTTGTCTCGACTTTTCCATCAGCTTTGTACACCATCGCTGCTCGCTCTTACGTACCGGCTCCCGTTAAGTTTTCCCCTTAGCCCGCTAATTTCCATAATTTTCGTCCCAACTACGGCGAGGTGAGTTCCAATTAGCCCTAGTGCCGCAACCGTCCTGCCCTTTCTGCTTCGAGGTTTTGCCGATTCTTGGTCATCGTTTGAACGGTGGTTAGTAGGTCTTGATCGGACTTGTCCTACCGCACAAGTCCAGTTCAAAGCGGACATTTTCTAGTGTACGAAGACGTAGACAAGACCTAGAGAAATAACGGTGTTACTGTGTGGCGACTTCTATTAGAACACTCTTTTGTTATGCGTGTTTTGCACACTTGCTAGTTCAAATACTAAGTAATCTAAGTTCAAGTAAATAATAAGGCTGGCTAAGCCGTCATTGTTCGTATTTTCGATTGGTTGGATCTTTGGTCGACCTCAGTCAGTCGATGGATGGTCAGTCAGCCTTAAAGGATACTTATGCATAACATAGCACACGACTCAGAAAGGTCCGATAAGGAGGTGACCTTTATATTGTGGCACGGACGAAAGGCCACACGAATATTGCTTCCAAATAGCTGTGTAGAGCAGCAGGCGAAGGAAAATCTCGGAAGGTGGGGAAACGCCAATCTTTGAGACGTCTGGCTAGACCCCAACGTTTACATATTGGAGCTCGATGAACGCATCCCAACCATATGGAGGCCTTGCGATCTGCGAACTTCAGGCGTTCTGCTGTGTAACCTAAAATATATAAAGCTTGTGTAAAAAAAAACAATGCGTATTTCGTCAGTATTTTAGAGGATATCTGCTGTGTGGGGGTTTTTCATATCCCTTCGAGAAGCCAGTTAAAGAAAAACAGCCTAAAAAAAACCTACCAAATAACAAAACGTAATCCTTAGGCACGATTTGTCTTATGGAACTTCCTAGGTATCTACTGATAACGGGAAAAACGGATTTTGCAGCCATTAGATGACATCTTGAATTCATCCCCTATATTCGTTTGTTAGCAATTTTTCTATGACGTGCCTGCTTAAAGGATAACAACGAACCGAGCTCATACTTTTACAGGAAATAGATTTACCACGGTCAAGATTCTATTAGTAATTACAGATTTACAACGTATGTTAACATCTACCATCAATTTGTAATTTTTTAAGTGTTTGATTACGTTATCTTGATAGAGTCCGGTGTCTTGTTTACCAGTTGATAATGAGATAGGAGGCAATTTCAACCACCTTGCCTAAACCTATTGTATTACATTGAAGGTTGCTGTTAACATAATTGAATGTAGAATACACCGGCGATCTCAATTAGACCGACGAAAGGAGAAGAAGACAGTGGAATCAATCAGAAATTGTCGGCAATTTCTAAGAGTATCTTCCTTGAATTGATTTAACGAGTGCATACTTTGGAGAGAGGTAATAAGAGAAATTACACGCGAGTCATCATTCTATAGAATATTTTGCCGCCAAAAATTAATGTCGACACAGAACTATGTAAATCCAGTCTACGCGAAATTACCACAATATACCTTGATATAAACCGCGTCTCAGTACTGCTTACGTCGCGAGGTTCCCTGTTTACGTGGCCGACCGATCTCTTGCTTCGTCTTTATTGTTCACACCAACTCTTTTATACCTTAGTCCGGTGTAATCGTGTGGGCCTGACTATAATTTAGGAGTGTCGAGGAGATATGCTTGCCCACTGGCACCTGGAAAAGGCCACAAATTTAGTGGAATCGTCAACAAAACCAAGAAAAAAAGAGGGTCGATGAAACGATGACAGTGGTCGAACGGAGCCGAATATGTGGGGCTGAAAACCATAAACAACACTGTAACCAAGTGGTGATGGTGAACTGGTAGAAAACAATAGCCAATATCGTTGAGGACCTGATTTGCATAATATATAAAACCAGTGAAGCATACAAGGGAATAAAAGGATTTGTATTCATAGAAGCTAGGACGGCCGACAACATAACGCACTTTTGTCCCATAACAGATTGTCGAACTGCAAAAAGTATTTTGCTATTAGAGATCAGTTCATATTATAGCAACGGATAATTTTTCGGCGCGATGAATTGAATGGCTAGATCTCTGGCTGATGAATGAGCCAACAAAGACCCCCTGATTAGACACCACCATCGATATGCCTGAGTAAACGAAAAAGGCTAAAACTATTATTATTTTTTATTAACTTCAAGGGCTGCTCAATGCGTTCTAGAAGAAATCATCTGTCTTTTCAACCACTCACGACAAATGACCGCTACTGCGTATACCACAATATCACAGTGACGTCCACTATTTATACGAACGCCTGTTTCAAGTAAGCGCTTCTCACAAATGTATGTAAAGAAAGCAGTCTCAGCGTTTTGCACATAAAACCACCAGCGAGAAACGCAGCAGAGCTAGGCAAGATGGTCCTAATGAGTTGTCCCTAACAGGCCAAACACTGTCTCATCAACGAGGTACATGTGAATAAAAACACTGGTCAATTATCCTCGTTACGCGTTCAAACTTGGTACATACATTGAGTGATAATATATTCTTACATGGAAAAATGAGGTCATCTTAGCCTTCAATAGGATTAGGCGCTTACTAGCTGCCGAGCGACGCCCCACCGAAGCGCATTTGCTTGACCCTATCTAAATCCTGGATCATTACAGCTTGCAGTGGTCGCTTGACATGCTGTGTATTGTGTTGCTCTTGGCTTGACCAGCTCTCTCAATATCGAATCCTTAATGGACCTCATCTTAGTAGGTCGCCTCAGTCACCTTTTAGTGCCTTTATACCACGCCTAGCGGAACCGATGGCTTCCTCGACACATAAGGTTTCCTCATAGGTGCATCTCAACACACGGAAGTGCTTAAACCTGACGTCGCTGACCCACCCCTAGAGTCAGTTGACAACCCCTTTGAACAGGATCGTCGAACAACCTTACAGGTCGGCCAGTCGACAAGGAAAATATGGGCCTTGTAATCATGCTTCTTTTCTTCGGCTTGCCATTATCTCTGCTTACGCCGTTATTTCAGTGAACAATAGATCTCAGGGGACAATAGAACAGTAATGACCACAGACGCCTGTAACAGACGCAACAAGAACAAAGGTCTGCCTTTATTAAATTGAGGCTTCCCATTAGATAACATGCTATGATCGTTACTAGGAATCCCGGGATGTCTAGGATCCGAAAGAAGTTACTTCCTGGTGTCGAGTCCGGAAAGTACTATCGCCTCCACTACCCTTGACTGACTCAAGGCACCAGATGGAGACACCGGGGAACTGGTATAAAAAGCCGAGTAAGAAAACAAGATGAAGGCAAATAAAAATGGATTTCATCACTTTATTAAAACCCCGGAAACAGTCGAAGACACCCTTAAAAAAGAAAACAAAACAGGGACAGAGCAGCAGCTGTAACATCCTGCAGGTCAACAGGTACTATAATAACAATAATGT